TATATTAAAGTTTTAAAGCAAGTCGTCAAACGATCGATCATGAACGTGTCCAAATGTTTATTATTATATACGATTTATTGACCCGTTATGTCTGACGAAAAATGTTCAGTAGTAGTTTTTGTTAGAGTTAATCACAACTAGAATCGTCGACTAATAAAAATTGAATTAAAATTAAAACGATAAATTTGTATCATTGCACCAAAGTGTACTTACTAGAATTCAAAGAATCCTCAAAACAGGTACAACATCTAAACGGAAATGATAAGTATCACATAAACTGAAAGATATTAACAAAAATTATTTGTTGTCCAAACGTAACGAAATTTCTTTACTTTTCTTCTTATGACTGAAGAAAATTGTAATGTGTTGAGTCCATTATTAAAAAAAAACAGACACTCAAGGTCATTCAATTTTGAACCCTTCTCAATGATTCTTAAAGCAGAAAATTAACAGTATAACTGCTTTCACCAAATATATCCAGAGCCTACCTCTAAAGTTTCCAGGTCCGCACGGCAATCCGTTAAAACAATGGCGATGGGTTACTGTTGTATTACAATACAAATTCCTAACACAAATTACATGTGGGCAGATTTTCGTTGCCGCCTCCTAGAGGTTTTTCATTGTTCCCAGTGCAAATTGCCGATAGGTACCTCATAAGATTTCTGTTAAAGCTTTGAATTTATTTACGAGTATGATTGTTTTCAATCTCCTGACGTGTTTTATTGCCTTGTTTTATCTGTTTTATATAAGACGTATTATCAATTTCCTTCCCTAGGTTATTAGAAGTGAACAGTAAAGAATTCCCGTTACATTCGGATAGTAATAATTGTTTTGGCTTCAAGGGAGTTTTGAAAGTTATTGATAAGCGTAATGTGCGTAATTATTTCGTTAATGTCTTTCAGTTTGTGGGATATTGTTTACTTATAATTCCTGTTTATTTTGTGAGGGTTCTTTGAATTCCAATAAGTACTCTTCTGTCGAATGATCAAATCTGTCGTTTTAATATTTTTCATTAGTCGACCCATTTATTCCGGTAATCGCTTTACTATCCACCATTAAGTCTAGGTTTTACGACATTTCACAAAACCCTCCCATAATTCTCTTTCTTTAATTCCCAAATTAACATATTTAGAAGAGAATTTCAAAACTTCTGGAAAACACCATAATCTTACGACACTCAATTACAATAAAATTATTAAAATATTACCACTATTTGGAGCCGTATCTTAGCTTAACTTCAGAATGTCATTACATTAATCAATATTTTGTAATATCGACCAAATTGCCGTGACAATGAAGACCAATTTCCTAAATATTCGTGACACCATTTTAAGACGGTCCTAATAGGATTATGGGAGACGTCAATGCGCCCTACTATTCGTAATTCATCGTAATACTGTTAAAGGATTATACGGTTTGTAATCAAGGCTAACTGTAACCAAATAGTTTTGATAAAGACGTTAATTTATATTAATGGGCTTCCAGATAAAATTTTGTGAACGATTGTCAGATGTATTTTCCTACAAAATTATAAATTTATTTGGATGATTCGTTTTCTTAATGTATTAAGTTTGTTGGTGTTGAAAGACAATGTGACACACAATGATCTATTTAACATGGACCATCCATCAACCGGTATTCTAATTTCTTGACTGAACTTCACCGAACGTTACTTCAGTGGAGTTACTGCATCAATTGATTTATTAAAAATATTATCGAACAGGTACCCCATTTTGTAAAATTAAACTTTGTATTATCTGATTAGAATTCTATGTTGGTAGGCAACATTCCATAAATTGCAATTCATAATCCCGTCAAATTTTATGTCCTTTCGCCAGGGGGGCTGCCCGACATCTCTTTAGCATGCAAATGCTACGCGTGACATATTAAAGCTACGTGCATCGTTGGCCACGATCCAATGATTAACCTAGCAATCATGGTAATTGTGTAATGATATATGAGAAATTAGACTTATGTCTAGTTCTGTAGAGTTCACTGTTAGTGGTTCTATCATCGATATTGTAATTTTATCCTCTATATAAACTACCTTATTTATCTAAGCTGCGATTTAATATTACAGCTGTCTGTGCCTCTCCTTTCTTTATAACAATTCCAAAAGATTAATACGCTTTTATAAAAGTACGTTCATTCGTTAGCCGTATCATTGCATTATCTTATTTATTGTTGTCTCCGCCCACAAACTTAGATGTAGCGACTTTTAGCAATTTCTCATGATTTACTTTGTCTTCTGAAAAGCCTGTTAATACTGGGTCTACTTTTTGCTCTGACTTGCAACCGGTCAGGACCGCTTCGCTTGTTTTATTGCACCTATAAACCACTATAAATAATTTCACTTAGAACAAGCGCGCGTTACAGACAACGGCTAAAGACTTTTTGCATAAAATCAAATAGCTCCATTTATGCATGAAGACTTTTCGCTTCTTTGTTTGTGTTCAGTTGCGTGGGATTATGAGCAGGTGATACATTCATTTGCAGATCTGCATACTACAAGCTACATGTATCAGTGTTAAAAATAAATGCTGTGAGGATTGTCATATAAATATATTATTTATGTGAGAACATGCAGCAGGTAGATGACATTAATAACTTAATTTATAGTTTTAAAAATATATTTTCTGTTAGAATTACTATAAGGCATGAGCTTAAAATAGCCAGATATTGAAGTGTGATGATATAACTTGTGAAACTTGTGCTTGAAACTTAGGATTATTGCTTGTAATTTGCGTATGAAAAGTTTCTCGCAGGGTATCTCTAGGCGACTATTTTCCTTATTACTGTATTGCATTGACTTACAATTGTACTTGACCGTACTCTTAATGAGAATTTACAATGTTTCCAAGCAAAGGTGTTCCTTTGTTACGTTTACTGATGTAGGATTTAGGAAGTGTATTTACGAAACTTTGGACATAATAATAGTTAGTTTATGCGTGCCCTAATTTATATTAAACAGGACTTTGTAGTTGAATTATGAAATGTCGTGCAAATGTCTCTAGTCTTTACATTGTACACAAGAACTAGAAATTGTAAATACGCATTCATGCGTAAAACCAGAAACCCACAATACTGCGGATGAAGTATTACGACAACGCGGCTAATGAGGGCTAAGCCAGTTTCTTAATTAAAGCGATATCTTGGATGTTAAGTAGGAAATATTGAATATGTTAGTATATAAAAGTAACGTGGTTCCATACATTTGCTGAACATCACATCAGCAAAATAATCTGCTTATAAATTCCAATATAATGCAAACTGAGGCTATGAGGTCTTAAGCTTCGAAACAATATATTGACTGGAATATCAATGCAAACACTAAATGTATGTAACACCATTTATTTTTCTACTTCGCCCGGTTGGATTTCAATGATTATAAATTGCATTAAGATATAAATGGGTTTGTAAAATGCACCCAAGGCTGTGCCTGTTTGCTTAATCATGAGAATTGGAGGTGCGATAGCTATGGTATTTGAAATCCGATTAACGTTATCTATTTCAGAAAGTCTAACCAAGAGTTGGTCGCCAGTCATGCTGACACGTAAAATATTGTTGGAAACACAAACATTTGTAGCTACCAGAAATTTTGACTTGTTAAGTTATTGACTGACATTGAGTACTTAATCTTTGCTCCTTTCAATCTCCAAGGTTCAAACAGCAAGATACTATTCATCATCTTAACGTAAATTATAGAGCACGAATTTTGAGAATGGATTTTTAAATCAGTTGCAAAACTATTTTCCTATAGCTGTTGTGGATATCAACTTCGTGAAGAACTGGACTGTAGTTATTATACCCATAAATTTGACGTAATAGTCTTATGCTTTTAACAGCTTTTTCTAGTGTAATGACTACTGCGATATCTGTATCTCATCTTCATTATTTATAATTTTCCTCTTGAATGTTTACTGTTATTATTCGAGCGATAAGTTGAAGACTTTAATGCCTTTCTGATATTGGAAATGGTAACGAAACTCATAGCGAATATCTTATTTATTATTATTTAAATCTCTCGATCGCAAATATTCGCATTACTATCAATAAAGGTTGAACCATTTGCATTAATACTAGCTGTTATTACAAATGTGAGAATAACTTTGTTTCACTTATGGATTTCACTGGATTAATCCGATTAGCCGTTTTCCAATGCATCCTATGTTATGCAATACGAATGCAAGATTTTATGTAGATAAGATTGATATTATCAATCCAGATCTAAACTGCAACCACTAATCCGAGATGTTTTGAAAATAAACATTCTAAATTATTCTTACATCATAATCCAGTTCGATTGCTATCCTAAGTTATTTCTGAAACCTGATCTTCTTAAACAATTCCGCAAAGAAATAGTCCACCATCAGCATTAACTTGCCGTATTGGATCTTAAAGTTATTTTATTATAATTTATAGCCATCGATTACGAGCTTTCTCATTACTGTTATTAAGATCTGATCGAAGCGTTAATTTGTTCGCTGAGTGCGTTTTTATCGCGATATAGATTGTCAATTTAACGTCATTCTTAGTTATGTCATCCTTTAAGAACATGAGTTGTTGATAAACTATGTTTCCAATTACATATAGTTGCGATTTATTATCTGTTTTGTTATTATTTTGTTATTCTATTACGCTTATTGTTGTCTGTTTGTGCACTGTATCATCCATTTTGTCTTTAGATGAGTTAGTGAAAACACGTTGAGGTATTGTTCTTTGATATTGTGCGGCGATCGCAGTGCAGTTGTTTTCTACTGTGGTATAAGGTGCTGGGTTTTTAATTAGTATTTTATTTTTATTTTGTATTAAATATGTAAGAATAGGAACTGGTTGGAGGGATTCATTTGTTGAAGTGGGTGTTAGTGATATCAGTGAATTTATAGTGTTGAAGATAGTACTTCAAATTAATTTTGTTTTCGATAGGTACTCAACGTATTTAATGACTTACTTTTTTCTTGGAAAATGCTTTATTAATATTATTTCTTTTGTTGTTACAGTGAGATGGCGCGGTGGAGAGCGCTCCAGCATGGACGATCAACGGCTTGCCTTGTGTTCTTCTGCCTACTGCAAGTGGCGAGGGCAACGCCCGGTATGTATCCTTACACATTTTATTATTTAAATCAAGTCTTGATCTATTCTTTAATTATGTTGTGATAGTGATACTCTTTGAAGCTTTTAAATACGATCATAAAGCTTGCTTGTTATTGAGTCTAGAGATCTAGTAATACAGAAATAATCCAAATAGTACTACGACTGTGTCAAATCCAAGTATCAGAAATTAATAATAATGTAACATTGATCATGAAGTTCTATCAATTTTAATCAACCATCGATCCTTTAAATGGACGTAAAACGTTTACCATCATAATATAAGTACCTATAATAGTGCATAGTGTTTTGTTTGTAATGTATTCTTTTCATATGGAAAATAAATTATTAAAAAATTAAATGAAAAAAAATAAGTACGTTTAAAAAATTACTAGAGAATTCCTAATAATATTTTCTAAATTTAAGGGTCGCAACCAGCCAGCATTCGCTTTTTAAAATCAGCTTTAAATTGAACATTGCACAAACCCATTCCCGCCTTTTTCGATTAAAAGAACCAGTTGGTTATATAGACGGCTGAAGACAGTAGGTGCCGATGTATTTACGAGTAATCAACCCAGGCTTTTGATATCGACTTCGAAAATAAACGATTCTAAAGATTTAATGGAAATCTATTCGAGGCTAGACTTTATGTGTCTACGTGTCCTTCTTTATAGGCAGATTCTTAATTCGATTCTGTCAAATTACAGTTTATGTCTTATGGTTAATGGTAGCTACGAAATTGTGATATTGCTAGTAAATGGATTTTATTTTATTTTACGTCGATACAATCAGTGCATCGACGGATAAATTCTAATTAACTTATAAGTTAGCAAGTGTGGTGGTTAATGAGCATATCGTCTACATGTGAAAGGAGGTTTTACTTAGCATTTTAGCAGTAGACACTTATAGGATTTGCTGGCTGGTGATGATGATGCCAATTTTAGGCTAATAATGTCCGTAAATGAAGCGTAAAAATGTCATATTAACATAATTATAACACTCTTAGGCGTCTACAAAGCCATAGAAAAACCAACACGTAAAACTTCCTACTTCTTTTGTGCGTCGTGCGTTAAAAAAGAGACAACAGACAACATTGTCAACTAACAAGATCAAATCATTAATCGTGTTTGTCAAACAAATCAATACACCATTGTATTGTATTTGTAAATAAATGAATGAATGGGCGTAGTAATAAGGTAACGTCATCGCTCGCTTCATTCATACAATTGTAGGCAGTCGAGCTTGAAAAATAGTATACTATGTGGAATGTTGTTCAATAGAATGAATGCTTTTATAGCTATATCATAATGTGTTGTACATACTTACCCATACATATTCGTACATAGGTAGATACATATTTTTATTTGCATAATTTAGTAACAAAACGCGCACGCTGCTCATGAGGAATAACCCCTCTGTGGTTCGAAACTAGTAGAGCTTTTCACAATATTTACACGTGAGTAACCCGCGATTTTTAGTTAGTTTAAATCATTAGAGTTATTTTAATGCGTTATTTTTCTTTTTTTAATCTTATTCTACGTGGCATATGCTACGGGATTCACTGATAACTGGCTCTAGTGGAAGATTTCCCTATAACAGTTGTCGTATATTTCATAAAACTCTGTAGTAAAAAGCACCGCTTCTGCTTCACGTCAAAAACATCACATAAAAAGGGTATAAAGCAACACAAGAATCTAAGCAACAATACTAAAACATTCCTTACTCAGAGATAAACAAATCCAACTTCACCCAACACCAAATACGGTTGAAAGTGCAACAACCCTAAACAAGCAGGGCAAAGTACAACAAAACCATGCTATATAGCAAGAAAATGGCGATACAACTTTTCCCGTAACATAACTGTAACATGTTCTTACTAATTTATTAACAACAAACACTGTATTAATTGCCTAAAAGCTTGAACGTACGATTTACAAGAATCCTTAGTACTTGAGAACAAGGCACGGGTAGTATTTTCTAATTGGAACGATTACTTATAAGGAAGGGTTAGTTGCCTTTATAGGAAAACGAAATATATGTGGTTATTAAGATCTTGTGTCGAGTGTGCTAATTAACATTGCGTTTGGTATGTATATTTTAAAGAATGGCCAATGTTTGTTTCTGTTTAATTGATTGGTTCTCATGCTCGATTATATATGGGGAATTTTAGCACGTTATTGTGTATATGTTACAGAATAGTATGTAGTTAGTCAAGTTATTTAGTACTAGCTACTTCTATGCGGTGTCAACAGCTTCTTGGCCTATTGGTTGTCGCGTGATATTTTAAGCCATAGGTATAACCTCCTACGATAAATGGACCATGTTGACTTTGACAGAACAGTATGACGCGACGGCTTTCTAGGATTATTAAACGGAACAACTGTCTGTGCAATTAACAAAAGGTTTAATGTGATTTGCTTGTGATACCTACAAATCCCAGTGTTTAACAAATAAAAAAAAACTAACAAAAACAATTGCTCATTTCAAACCTGTAGTTCAAGAGATTAGCCTGTTCAAACTAACAAGTCTCTAGCTATATAATATAGGTATAGATGCACGCCAAACCTAATAACTTGACTGACAGTACATTTCCCGTAATAATGATTTTCTGTGATTACATAACAGTAAAACTAGCAATTATTTATTGAGCAACGCTTTTGATAAAAACAAGTGACATACGAATCTATTTGATTATCACGCGAGCTTATATTCATTATCATCTACAAATTTCTACTCGTCTCGAGTTTGAGTGAATAATTCGCGAAGAACGTAAGAAATAATTAATATAAGGGAATATAGCATTTTATAGACCATACCTTATAGAGTTTATAGGATTAAATTAATCAGGAACTCGTTAGATTTCACGTTCCTTTGAAACTACCCATCACAGTTTCATCCTACTTTTACGATGCACCTTACTATAAATTACTCATAACTTTTGTTATAATATTAGCTATGGGGATTTTAATTAATAATTATATTTTGTTATAGAGTATTAATAATGATTACAACGTGAAATGTTTTTAGCAGTAATTTTATGAAGAATATCGGTTACTTCTTAATTTAATTGTTAAAGTATTGGATTGTATTTAGTTGTTGTTGTGAGTATAATTATTTATATTTAGTCCATCGAGTCGGTTAGAGAAGTAAAAAATAAAAAAAATACTTAATGTTTTTTTATTTACTTATGACGAAATAATACATAAATTAATTGAATTCAAAGGAGACGGGACGTCACACGAGAAGTAATATAGTATTATTTTTTTTATTAAGAAAACAATGCTGAGTTAAAATTAATCTAATTTTAAGAGTTCATCACATGAAATTCTAAATCAACATAAAGTCGAAAGTATTTGATTCCGTTACATTCATCTTAAAGACTGATATTAAAACAAATTTAATTATCATCCCTATTGCTTACGATATAAAACACATTCTTGCTTCAACCAGTAACTACCTAAAGACTGGGAAACTTCAATCCGCGATCTCAAACGCCTATGAACTGCAGTTACCATTATCTTAAAACAATTTAATAGGAAACGAAAGGCGACGTTAGCAAAAGCTTAATTAATTGTTCAAAGGCCTAACGAAGCTAAGGTCTCGTGCACCTGTCGATTCAGTTATTTATTGCTAACTGTTTGTACCACGAGTATGTACATTCTATCTGTAGATTTGCAAGCTTTGTTGTCCCTTATCTAAATGCATTGTTCAGCTCGGCTGGTGATCAATGCGGGATTAATGGCTCACGGTTTTATTTTACGATTACCCTGGGAATTGTGCAATTTTAGGAATTAATTTTAACTAGTTTTTACCCGTTCGCGTGGAATCGTGGCTTCCTGCAGATTTTTGATATAAAAATCCTATCCTATGTCCTTTCTTGAGTTCCAAACTATGTCTGTACCGAATTTCGCATAAATCGGTTTAGTAGTTTAGGCGTGAAGAATAGACAGACAGACAGACTTACTTTTGCATTCATAATATTAGTATAGATTGAAAATTATTTTGCTTTTTTTTTAATTTAAATAGCTTTTGTATTCAGATTCGTACACAGAACCAGGGTAAATAGTTGCTTATATATTATATTCAAGACTAATAATTTGTCACTATGCAAAACTGAATTCAGCTCTGCTTTTACATTTTAAGTGAAAGAGAAACAAGCTTCAATACTTACTTATACTTAAACTGTTTTATAATATTAGTAGGATTTGAAAGAAAACGTTATTTAGTTATTCAGTTTTAGGGATTTTTATATCATGTCTTTAGCTAGCACGTCACAATCTCAAAAGACTAGAGAAAATAAGAGTAACTTTAATTGTCTTGAAGGTTGCAAATAAAACTATTTATTTTTCTTTACAGGTCCATGTGAAGTGGAAACGGGTCAGTCTAGCATTATAGTTGATATAGAAGAAAGTAGAGGAGACCGTAAGTACATAATAATTAAAAATAAATCGATCTTATTTTTAACACCTTTAGTTTCAAAATCATTTAACTTTTCACTGATCAAGTTCATACAATATTAATGAATATGAAAACATAAATAGTTTTATTTATTTAATTATTTTCCACCATAAAAGAAAAAGTCTTTATCTATTATTAACATTGGAAGTCAGGAACTTATATATAGATAGGAACAATGTTTTTAAATGCAAGGTAGAAGAGACAGTATAAAATTAATAGCAAAATAATATTATTATTTGATATCCATAGTAGTCTATACATACAAGTTTAAATTTAAATTCTATATATTTATTACAGAGGTGAACCAAAGCACAGTGCCGGCTGATCTGCCGATAGTCGGTGAACCAGACGTGGACGTGGTATTGTCCACGGTTTTCCCCAAGGGCCCCACGCTATTCCAACTGGATGGAAAGCGGTTGCAGCTCCTACAGCCCCTTGATAGAGATGCTGATAATTTGTCGCATATGGTGTTTCAGGTAAGTTTTTGCCGATATATGAGTCACACACAATAGAAAATACATTGGATTTATATCTACTATGTACATATATGTTCCGTATAATATATAAGTACGTTCCGGGGTAAAGAAAATTTAGGGTACCACCATTTGTATATATATATTATGAACAACTTCAACCAGTGGTATACTACGGGATAATATGCTTTAAAAACAGCTACATTGACAGGTATATACTTTGCAAAGGGCTATAATTAACCACACAGTGGAAAGTAAGTTAAATGCTAAAAATACCGGACGATTAGCTATTATGTCCAAAAGCCGAATGAAAGCAGCACGGCTAGGACAGAGTGGTGTTCCACGAACTCACATTAAGCCGGCCTACAACAATAACAACGTTGTGTTTTGCCGTGTGAGCGCAGTCCCTATTCACTAAATCTCCAAAATCCTTTATTGCAATAAGGCCAGCAACGCATTTGCAACTTCCCTGGTGCTGCCGGGTACATTAACGGCACCGGTTGCTTATCACCAGACAATCGGTCTGCATTCGCCACACTATCACACAAAAAACTTTTTTACCTGAACTGAAGATCTAACACCGCAACTTTAGATTTGATCGTCAAAGTAATATAACGATTGTCTAATAAAATAATGAAAGAAGCAAAATAAAAGTTCCGCTTAAAAATAATATGTTAATTTATTTCGCATAAAGCATTGAATACTAAATATATACGTAAATGTTCATAATCTTATAAGAGAACCCGTTGACACGCGAATAGTTTAAGCATCTATGACTTTACGAAAGATTAAGCAAACGATTATATAACAAACAAACAGTTCCCACGTTCGAAATCTTATTGTCAATTCAAAAACCGAATAAACTATTCATAAGGCATTTTTATTATTATTAAATGTATTATCTATCATAATCACCTTACGATTATTTGTCATACAATTTATAAAGATCTCCAGACAGTCCATAAGTAAAGTAGCCATTCAACATTTTTTACCAATCAATATCCAACTTTAGACTACCCAATTAGAGTTCAGAATGGACTGTAATGAATATTGACCGATTTATTTCTCTGTAACCGAATTAGGTCTATTAACATATAGCCTAGAGCTAATGTAGTAGTTATTAATGTGTGCGAGAAGTTATTTGGTGTATAATTAATGGATTTGTTTGCAGCTGGTCTGTCAGGTGAAAGCTACGAAGAAGAGACGGACTATACCAGTGATAGTGAGAGTATCGGACATTAATGACAATGCGCCGGTATTCCAAGGGACTCCATATGAAACTACTGTTTCTGAGGTAAGTGTACTTACTAATATTTCGCCTAAAAAGGCGTCTATGCCTCAGCCTCGGCTCTGGGCCAAAAGCAGTGTCACATCCCTGGCCTGGATCTGGAGAAGGAACGGAGTGTTTTTTAGACACTAAGAATCTGACACTCTCTCCCCACCCAGGGCTAAGGCTGCGAGGAGATCATTTTGAAGATTTTATCCCCTCAAAAAAAAACGTTCTCCATGTTTACAAATTACTCAGTCCGCTTTACATAACACGTTGAAATCGTTTACTGCTTTGTTTTAGTTTTGAGGAGTAAAATATATAAACAATATTTTTTTTGTATTTAGTGGAATGTGTAACGATTTATTTATAACAGCATTCTTGGTGGTATAAATTAAAAAAAAGTTGGGATAGACAAATCAATAGAAGACGAGAGAGGAAATAATATTAAAACCATTGTGTATCATGTAGAATGTACGTAAAGTCGGTATTAATTTAACAAGATGATTCAATTTATTTTAAATAATTTCAGCTGGTACCAATTGGGACTACAATATTCGACGGGATCAAAGCCGTAGACCTCGATGCGGGCGTCAATGGTCTGTCTGAATACTTCATAATACCAGGAGATAATAAAACCTTAGAGGCGGCGAATGCCGTGGACGGGTATGGAAGCTTCGCGATACCTCTCCCTCATCAGGGGCAGGTGACAGTCAATAGGAGCTTGGATTACGAGCGCACGCAGAAGTATCTAGTCACTATCCTTGCTTCTGTAAGTATTTGTTCTTTATATGCATGTACCAGGATCTCAAAGAAACATTGAAGAGATTTAATTTTTGTCATATAGAGTCAACTTCAAGAGATTTTGAATTTGAGTTTACTTACAATTTTTTTTATAAGAATAAGAATAAGATTCAGAATATTTATTTGTAAAATAGTAAATACAATTGTCTTACAGAATGTATTATGCATATTTACAGTTTTATGCGATACGTGTTAGAATAGACCTTATGCCGAATACATACACCAATGAATTCGGTATTGTCGGCATTCTTATGATGTGCGGTTTAACGAACCAAATTTTGGGGATTCGATAAATAAAAATTAATAGCTATAGACTATAAATTCCGAATTCGAATTTTAAATGTTTATTTTTAAAATAATTGCAGGATCGTGCCCGAGACACGAAGAAACGTCTGTCTAGTACCACTACGTTAACTGTTATTGTACAAGATGATGATGACCAGGACCCATCCTTTATATACAAGGGCTGCACGCTGCATGAAGGAGCTTGCTTCAACCCGGAATATACTAGCTATGTAAGTTGATTTTTGTAATTTTGTGATGAAGCCTAGCAAAAGATTTTTACATGTTTATATACATAGTTACTATCGGGAGACATACAAAATTTATTGAAAATAACAACTTCCTCACGTGAATAGCCTCAGGTAGGCTGAAATTCTGTGGGCTGCGCGACGTTGCGGCGCCGCGTACGCAGCTCATCAATAAGAATTCCGTTGTGACTAGAAACTAAAATTATCTCTACTAAATATTTTCAGTTAATTCACCTGAGTGAGTCGTTGTTTCCAAATAAATATTACCACCTGGTGAGAGATCTTGCATAGAAAAGATACTGTATTTTTAAATCCTCCATTTGGCACGTGTTTATATTTTTCTTAATAAAATCACAAAATTAAATGCACATTCACATTACACCCAGACCCGGAACAACAATTTGTGGATTACACAAAGAGTTGTTCTGAGCGGGAATCAGATGCCTAACTACTGCGTTAACTAAGCAATCCCTAAATGGTCTGGTAAAAAATAAACGTTAAATATTACTTTTACAGGTAAACAGTGGAGTCCTAGCAGGAATCCTAACGATAGAACCAGAGAAAATACAAGCGGTAGATATGGACACTTTGGATGCAAGGATCAAATACACCATCGACAGTGGGGAGCCAGATTCTTGGAATACTTACTTCGCTATAGATCCTAATACTGGCGCTGTCAGGCAATTGGTTCCTGTTGATACTACAATTGCTAAGAAGTTCCAGCTCGTGATAAAGGTAAAATTAATATACAGATTTTTGGAATGAACAATAGTCGTATGCTACCTTCCGAAACAAAAGAAGAAGGCGTCATACATAATAAAAAAAAATGCCGAACTTGATTTGATTCCTTACCACGTTACACGCCATGGGGGTCACCGGTGACCTCCCTTAGCGGAGGATTTGCCGTCAACAATTTTCTGTCGGCAGTCAAAGGCTTACGTAATGTTTTGCTTGCGTAAACTATTTTTTTCCTCTTTACATTATTTGAGAACTGTCTTGTCGTCTACTTTGCTGTATAAATACAATTCTCTTCCACCCGTATTACCCACACATGGACTCATATTTCTTTCATTTTGGTAAAGCGGGATAAAAAAGTGTAGCCCACGTGTTATCTTAGACTGTATATCTATCTACCTATCTCTGTGCCGTATCGTGCCGAATGGAGCCCACGCAACGCTAACAGACACCGAGGCAGGCCCAGAAGGAGATGGCGGGACGAATTTGATGGCTTCGACGAGGATTGGCCGCAGAAAGCTTTGTGTAGAGAGGAGTGGAAGGAAGGGAAACCTTTACCGTGCAATGGGACGATAACGGCTGATAATAATATCTCTGTGCCAATCTTCATTTAAATAAAGAAGCAGAACATCGTCTTATGTGAAGGAGTGACAAAAATCCATCCATTTTTTTTAAGTAATAGACCGGCAAACGAGCAGATGTATTACCTGATGGTAAGCCATCAGCGCCGCCCATGGACACCCGCAACGGAGGAGTTACGAGTGCGTTGCCGATTAGTGATTAGTGTGTTGGAGATTAAGAGATTGGGGAGGGATCGGGGGAGGGGAAGGATTGGGCCTCCGGTAACCTTACTCACACGGCGAAACACAACGCTGTAATTGTTTCATGCCGGTTTTCTGTTAGGCGGATCCATGCGCACTTACAAACATTCTGGTTGGCAATATTAATACAATTCAACTTTTCACATTTTACAGGCAGAAGAAGTAACAGAAGCACGCCGCTTCACGACAGCGAAGCTCACAATCACAGTGCGACCGGTAGACGCGAGTCCACCAGTTGTTGAAGTTTCCTCTGATGAAGGGAAAGTCGAGGAGAACTCCCCTAAAGGCACCAAAGTACTAGACAATGAAGGAAACCCGATTAGATTAACTGTTTCGGATCCTGATTTGGTAAGTTATGGTGAAAAGAGTCTTTAAGTCCTCCGACATGCAATTGTTTATCAAATACATAGTATTAAACAAAGTCACTTTTTCTGTCCCTATATCCCTATGTATGTTTAAATCTTGAAAATTACTTAACGGATTTTGATGTAGTGTTCTTAACAGATTGAGTGATTAAAGATGATGGTTTATATGTACAATAACAACCATTAAATAATGTGAAAATTTAGTGACCGTGCAAAGCGAAATTTACGATTTTAACGTTGTGCTAATTTAATATTCATTTGTTTTGTTTTTGTGTCGCTACTTTGTATAAGTACTAAGAGTTAAAATATATCTTAATTTTAACGTAAACTATTTGAAATTTCCAGGGACCCGGTGATCCAGTTCCAAAATACACATTTGAATTGACAACAAACTTTTTCGATATCGACAAAGATGGATATTTAGTTGTCAGTGATGAAAAACTCGATCGAGACCCACCCAACCCAGGCAAATTTAGATTCCAGGTAATGGTTTTAATTTGTGTACTGTTTTTTTAACAACTATCAATGTAATATTTTTATAGGAAAAATTAATTGAGTCATCAACAATTTGCTACTTCGTGTTTGAGTGTGATCTGCACGTGAAATCATATGTTTGTAGAACGGACTTACGTCGCTAAAATTAATCCTAATAAGATGCAACATTTAAAAAGAGTAAATAGTAAAATTCACTTTTAACATTTATTATAATTTCCTGAGGTCTTGACATCGCGTTTGAATGATTAGACCAATTAAGGACAGGACAGGAGAAGTTTCTTATGAATTTTCACCGCTACTCTCGAATAGTAACGGTGCAAATTTGGATATGGCAACCCTTCCAATGCCGTTTCGTTCCGAGGTGATTGGAAACCCATCCCAAAAAGCTAGCCCTAGTTGATTTACATTAAAAACGGATAGTATTTAAGTAAAACACAAACATTGAAAATGTTTAATTTACAGGTTGTTGCTCGGGAAGCGAATGGCGGCGCAGCGTCAGCCCCAACTTCGTTAGCGGTACAGTTATTAGACCAGAATGATAACGCGCCAATGATACCCAAGACCCAACCAATCATTGTGCCCGCTAGCTTGGAACCTACTGAAGTGCATACGGTACGTTAAATATGACTTATTGATATTTATTTTGTCATTTGGCTATTTAATATGTGGGAGAGCCAAGCTTCGACACGAATGAGTCTACTCGACCGGAGTGATACCAGGGCCTCACAAAATCCTGGCTTAAAACAACAACAGCGTTGTGTTTCGCCGTAAAATAGCATTCCCCCTGCCAAATCCCTTTCCAATCCTTATATCCGCAACCCTTAGCCCCAAAAGGCCGGCAACGCACTCGCAACTCCTTTGGTGTTGCGGGTGTCTATGAGCGGCGCAGATTGCTTACCATCAAGTCAGATCATCAGGCCTGCTCGTATACCGTCTTATACGTTAAAAAAAAATGGCGTGTGAATTTGATTGTTTTCGTTACTTGATTGTAGCGTGATGTTTTATATCCTATAGAACCCAGAAACATTGTAGCTCATTGAAAGAATTTTGGAAGTCCGACCAGCTTTTCTCCAAATATACCTCCTACATACAAACTGACAAATTTTACCTATTTATAATATAAGTATAGATATAGACGTCGATATATGACGTAGGTATATATGTATACAGTGTATGGTCAGCCAAAGATAGACAAGAGTATCTTACTAAAACAGTACATATCTTGCTTGTATCTTAGCATAAACAAATGCTTTATTTTTACCATTCTTCTTTTTTAAAAAAAACAAATATTTTTTTACTTATATACAGGTGGAGGCGATAGACATCGATGAGGGTGAGAACGCACGCATAACGTACAGCATATATCACGTGTCTAACAATGGAGGCAACAAGTTCACTATACACCCTAACACCGGAGTTATATGTAAGTTGCACCTTTAATACTAAGGCTGACAAGACAGGATAAATACGACCTTATTTTTTTGCGACTAAGTTCATTTTTGTATGAATACTTTTAGATCACATAGCCCTTTTTGCGCTGGCTGTATTGTTGTGTACTCGAATGTTGTGCTTTATACTGTGTTACTTAAAGGTTCTAAATTAATTGCTTTCATGTCTAGTTGGTCTTGATTTAGTAGTAATCTAAATTCAGATTCCAAAGGTATTTATTGTAATTAAATGCGTGTTTGTACTATTTCGTGCATGAAGGTTTTATTAATAATATAAATTGTGATTTTTGTTTAAAAAACTAATTTCTTTCTTCTTATAAAAATATCTTTACACAATGTTTTCTAGCACTATAACACGTTTGAAATACTTACATAGAAATGTTATTGAATTAATCTTTATTAAAATCTATATAATTCCACGATTTATCTCTTTACAAAAATCTATGTTTTTGTAACACACTCACAATTAATTTTATTTTCTATAAAATGCACGAGTGTGATCACAGATTAACATCACAATATGACTCTCGAACCTTTTTCAAATGTAATTCTTTTTTTCTCTTTCCAGCCAGCACAGGTCGTTTACAGGCGGGAGAACAGTACAGTGTAACTGTACGTGCGACTGACGCAAAAGGCCTCAGTTCTCAAGGGATCGTAGAACTGTCCGTAGCGCCCGGCCCCAATACAAGGCCACCGCAGTTCTCGTCGCGGGATTACTACGCCCCCGTCTCTGAAGGAGCTGCAATCAATTCTACTGTGACTACTGTTACTGTAAGTAGTTTTGGCAAATAATGAAATTTTGTTTTACCAGTTTCATATAAGTCCCCGATAAACTTTGTCAGAGGTAAATTCAAGCGCAGAACCTGTTCATTTACTTACTGAAGGGGCAAGCAAAGATGGAAATAACGTAATATTAACCATTTAATAAGTAAAGAGCCTTTTGCTAAGCTTTAATATAGCTATAATATAGATTGGCCGGATGTTTACTACAAAATACCAGAAACTTATATGGAAACAGTAACAATTTTTAACCCCTATTTGTTTATAATTGATGATATTTAGCTCATCAACTTTGAATTTTGGATAAACAAGATGTCGAAGATATCCATATATGTATAAGAGCAGCTAACTGTATTTTTGAAACATCAAAATAGAATAAAAGTAGTTTCGGATCGAAAAGAAAAACTAAGGAACTTCATCATTAGTATTTTTTTCTTAAAAAGTATTTTTTTTTAATAAAAACTATAATGTCTTTATTCTATTTTCAAAACCATTACTTTTTTTCTTTCAGGCCAAAGATCCAGAGAATGAACCAGTGACGTATTCCATAGCATCGGGCAATGACCTCCGGCAGTTCGCCATCGGGTCCAACACTGGTATCATTACAGTAATCAGAAGCCTTGATAGAGAAGTTCTCACCAGATATCAACTGGTAAGATTTACTTTCACACATATTTAAAATAACATGAAATTTTATTTATTGAAACTCGTGTGATTAGCTGAGATAAGCTTAAAAAAAAACGTATGTATCATTATTACTATACAAAAAATATATATAATACTTTCCTTATTATTTATTTAAATAAATACGTTCTAATAAATAAAGAAGGAGTAACCAAAGGCTTCTTTTGTTTTCTTGTTCATATGTGCGTTTGTTTGCATGTTCCTATGCACAGTCAGTAGTGTAGTGTTTATATGTGTGAGTAGGATCGGGGGCGTTTTTAGTCAGTAAGAGTCTGACACTCTCTCTCGCCACACCTTGGGCGAGAGAAGCCATTTGATGATTTTCCCTCCTCATAAAGCAGGGTAAAATTCTATTGAATATATCTAAGAGTAAAATGGCTGCACCTTATTAATTTCGGGCAACATTAATAAAGAAAGGTTGAGAAACAAACCGTATAGCACATGTAATACAGCGCATTTTTGTATGCAATTTTTCAGATGGTAAGAGCAGAAGATCCAGGCAGGCTGTCAAGCACAGCGACAGTTAACATCAAGGTCACTGACATCAACGACAATAATCCCAAGTTCGACGAGGATTCATACTTGTTCCACGTCAAAGAAGGTAAGCATACCTTTAAAACATAATGCCTAAATTTTGATGGCAAAGGGGCCAATGGTTGGGGCATTTCAAAACTCGCTTCAGCTTCTCAACTTAGAGAGCCACGAATTAACACAAATTGGGCAGTTACATCAAAGTAATACCCCAGCCTCATAGGAAACTGACGTGTTTATTCTACCTAGCGAGGAAAACAGGGACTCGACCAGCATCAGAAGGTCGAAATGGGATCATGGGCGTTAAAAACCTGGCATGTAGCAAAATGAATTTTTATTTTAAGAGTTATATGGACTTTCTAAGTTTATTTATACACCACTGACTAACTAATGATCAATTTGAGAAACCGTTGTAAGTAAAGCTTATACTTTAACCGAACGAAGAGGGATTTGCTTAGTAGTGAGCACTTATAGGCTGATTTAAAGACTAAGCTTCATAAAAAACAAATTCAATACTTTTATCCAAATATCAAAAATGGCAGTTTTCTATGAAATTTGTATGAAATACTGAGTTATGACGTTTTCACGTCAAAAAGCTTACTTATTTCTTAAAAAAATATCCATAATTTATGTATCGATCGATCGATGAATGAAAGTATAGTTATTTTTCAATATTTTATTGTATTGAAACGTCGAATAAATTTATTTTTGACCTAGGCAACTACCTAATATTGACTCCCCTAACTACGGATGACCAATAAATCTAAACTAACTAAAAAATTACTCTTTCAGGTGCAGCCAACGAATTCGTAGGCTACGTCCATGCCACCGACATAGATGAAGGTGTGAACGCCATGGTCAGTTACAGCATACCCACCCATTTGCCATTTAGCATCGACAATGGAACTGGATTGATTAGTACCAAAACTGAACTGGATTATGAAACTACTAAGGTATGTTTTTCAATAGCAATATCTTGAGACATAGTACATTTATTGAAAATAACGATTTACTCACGTGAATTAACTGAGGAAACTACTACGTAAGACGACGTCGCCGCGACGTGCACGCTGTTCGTGAATAAGAGTCCTTTATTTTTATTATAACTTTCGTGAGACATTCTAAATTATTTATTATGTTTTCGGCTTTTTACACGCGACTCGGCGACTATCAGTGTCAGTAGCAGCGCGACAGTCGCCGAGTCGCGTGTCGCGGAATGCTGCTCATGAATATGGGCCTCTAGCAGGGCTTGAAACTAGTCGAGTATCTCGTCAAATTATTACGTGAGTAAGCCGAAAACATAATAAATAATTAAGAGTCCTTTATATAGTGACTTGAAACTAGGAAAGCTTTACTCAGTTTTCACGCTAGTAAGTTGTTATTTGAATAAGTTTGCTGAGTGCGCTTTATGAAAAAAGGCCAACTTAACCGGTTTGATACCACGTCATCAGAAAATACCGGCTTGAAACAACCGTGAAGCTCCCGGAGAAACAAGACCCCCCATCCCTTAACCGTAAATCACTAATCGAAATCGATTATGAAAAAGTCAAATCTTTCAAAAAATCAAAAATTTGTGGTCCGTTAAAATTTTAATATTTGTAACACATAAGAAGTTTCGTTTGAAAAGTTTAATTTCTACGTATATGTCCATGCATGCTATGAACTTAACGAAAGTAACCTAATGTAGATTGCCAAAGTATTTAATTTTTATTTTGAACTCTAAATGTATATATAGTTTTTGGGTCTAATTTGATTTGAATATATCTTTTCTTGCAGGAATATGCATTTGTAGTAACAGCAACCGATGGAGCGATAGACAAACGACTTGGAACCGCATCAGTGACCGTACAAGTAACAGATGTGCCTGACGAACCACCAATATTCTCCAAATTATTATACTCAGTACATGTACCCGAAAATGCAGCTAATTACCCTGTCGTTAAAGTTCAGGTTAGTATGGCAAGACTTTGATCCTTTTGCCTTGAGTTCCCCAACAGTCTTTCGCTATCTTTGAGCGCATTTAAAATTCGAATATGTCTGTTTGATTAAATAATGAAGTCTATTTTTCCTATTTTATTTAAGGAAATACGACTTAATACATATGAATTTCCAAAACAAAGCTCATTCTTTACCGAACAAAGTTCATTTTTCTTTGTCTCAATTCAATACCTAATTCTTATTACAGGCTGAAGATCCAGATACGATACCAGAAATTACATACACGATTTTAATGGGAGACAATGAACTGTTCACAATAGACCGTAAGTCTGGTATGATAAGGACTGCTAAACCTTTGGACAGGGAAATAACTGCTAGACATGAGATCATAGTCGGAACTGAAGAGAATAGCGAAGAAAAGCCTGGTTCTACCACCACTGTTGAAATTTTAGTTGATGTGAGTATGATATGCCTGATTTAATGAGGTAGGCTAAATCCTTTTCTATTTATAAATCCTAAAAGTTCAAAATTCTATAGCCAAACTTTACCAGATCCAGGATTAGAATATAATAGTATTTTACTTGAATTCAATACTTTCATTAAAATGTTAAAAACTATACTTTTCTTGACGACATAATCGTAATGTTTGTATGGCAAATGGCATAATTATTTCTGAAAAAATAGCTGAAAAGGATTTGAAATTAAATATATTAATGAATAAAAGTATGATTATATTTAATAACTCATTTTATAAAAAAGTCAAAACTTCATATTTTGGGTAGGAAAGTACTGAATTCGACCACCTCCCACTATGAAAAATAATTCAAATTAATACAACTAAAAGCTTAAAACTGCCAAACCTTTTTGGAGAAAACGATTTCAATAAAAGCACAATACAAACTAAGTGATAAGTTGACATAGGTGGAGTCTCGTAGGATGGCGCTAGTTTCGAATTTTATCCAATAACCACCAAAAACTTTAAAAAATACCACATAAACAATTAGGTATTTTAATTTTATTTTATTTTTGAATATTCCAGGACAAAAACGACAACGCTCCGATATTCACATCAGTGGTCCGTCCAGTGACTATCGAGGACTCTTCTTCCATCGGCAGTTTAGTTCAGACAGTAGTCGCAATGGACGGCGACGCCACGCCCCCCAACAATAGAATCCGGTACAAACTGGTTGGCAGAGGAAAAGCTTCCATTTACTTCCACGTTGAACCTGATACCGGCGCCGTGAGGGTTCGTGATGATTTGAGGAAGGAGGCTGATAGTGAATATACTGTAAGTAATGTTTTTATGGCATTCTAAACAATGACGACGATCCCTAGGGGTGTGAAATGAAAAAATCTGACGATCAAACACATAACTTTTTTCAAAACGTTTTTCTTCAAAAATATTGAGCTAAATATGTATAGGAGACGCCTGTGCTTACTATAAACTAAAAAACAAATCCGATGAATTAAGATTTTTTATCTCGAATATTGTTTAAATCGTGGAAATATTTATTTATTTATTTATTATGGCTTAAAAGGTACATTTTACATTATAAAAAGTATAAAATGTCCAACAAAACTGTATACACAGTTTGTCTGTTGGATCAGATTTCAAAAACTAACTTAATAGAACCTATAGTAAGTCAATAGGACTTACTATAGGTTCTATTAAGTTTACAATAATAATAAAATTGATAATAAATGCGATGGACGCAAATTAATATATTAGTATATATTAATATATTAGTAATTATATTTGTATCCATTATGGTGTTGTATTTAACGTTTTTAATGATTTTTGGTACAGAGATTAACACAATTTTTGGCTGTAAAAGGCTCATAATGCTTCTGTTACAACTTTTAGGTGATATACTTAGTAATATAGTCACAGGATATCACAACTACTTAGGTAATAGCTTTTATCTTTATTTTTAGGTGGACGTGCAAGCATACGACCAAGGTGACCCCGTGATGTCGTCAGTTACTAGTCTTACTGTCTACGTCAGCCATTCTGCTACAGTTCCTCCAGATGTAAGTTACTTTTTTTTATTTATCGTTCCCTTGTGTGATTTCGGAACCTACCAAGTACCACGACTATTTCTTATTAAGACACCACTGACATATGGTGAAGGAAAACATCGACTTAAACCTAGACTTTAAATTTCTAACTAGGTATAGCGCCAATGCGACATGAGCAAGCTAAGCTAATGCTTAAACCTTTTCAACGTAGGATGTCGGTTTTTGCTCATCAGTGGGCACTTAAAGGCTGATTATGTAATAGCTCTTCTCCCATATAGAAGCTATAGTGTCTCTATTAGGTACTAATAACTGCCATTGAAATGTTTTGTTTAGTTGTAATGATTTACTACAAAAGAAAAATGTCTGTAGCAGTGATCATTAATCGGAAAGTCAAACAAAATGATAAAATTACTTGACACTCGGATTTTCTCCTGTGTCGTAAGTGCGTTTACAAACATACAATTTCACATACATAGCACACCCAAAACCGGAACAACAATTTGTGGATCACACAAAGACTTGTTCCGTGCGGGAAACGAACCCGTGACACGTTGCGCGGCAGCCAGTTGCCAGCCACCGCGCCAACTGTGCACTCTATAATTAATATCTTATCATCTCTAACTCAATCTCCCTCTTCTTTACAGGTCGGCCTTGGTTTCGCGGACACCGTATACACGGAACACGTGGCAGAAAATTCTCCAAACGGCACCCTAGTTAGAGTACTCCCATTACTGAACAAACGGGAACATTCCCCAGACACACCGCTCAAGTGTCGACTCACTGAGTCGTCACATAAAGGTAAGGTTGAAGGTTAGTAGCAGAAATGAAGATACGACAATATTTTCTATTGTGTTCCTCTGTTTTCTTGCTACTTCTTACTTTATTTCAATTTTCTCATTTCGGTTTTTAACCATTTAGTGTTGGTCGTTGAAATTTACTTTCTATTATTCGGCTCACAAAACAGGTTTCCTGTAAAATCTTAATTCTGTTGGAATTCGAAAATGATAGAAAGAGTTTGACTAATACAACGCAATAATGTAGCGTGGCTTCTGCCCTCAGCAGGACAAAGAATCGGGTGGTTTTAGGCAGTCAGAGTCTGACACTCCTCGTCTATAAAGAGCGGGACAAGTCTTTAATAATTTTTTCAGTCTCAAAAAAGCATGCTGCATATAATATAACATGCAACAGTCAGCACTAATATAATATAACTATTGAGACATTAACGTTTACAAATCTTCCTATAGAAATTAACTCTGTGTAAACTGGTAACTCCTTCATAGAGTAGATACATGTAAATGTATAGTCGGAGACCGTTGTCAATGAAGTATGTTATTTTAATATATTCTTCTTTAACTTTCACAGGAGTGTTCTACGTCAAACTAACAGAGGATCGAGACTGCGCAATCTACCTCAATACAAGTTCCTTAGACTACGAGACGCTTTCAGAGTATTCTTTGGAAGTTCAACTAGAATCTATACAGGGTTTGATAAACCCGGAGAATAGTAAGGCGACTATTAAAGTGCATATTACCGATGCTAATGACAATGAGCCAGTGTTCGTGTTTCCTGAACAAAGTACTATAACGACTGCTAAAGGAAAGTACTATGCTGTTGTCACCAAGGACATGTTGCTTGGTACCCGGTTTTTGCAAGTTAAGGTGAGTTTTCTTTTTCTAGCCAGCTACAAATTTCATTTTAGAACTTAGGATGATAGTGGAAAAGCTTACAGTGTCATCGCCCCTGCGAATACCAGTGATAATTACCTTAAAATAAACTATTTCTTTAGTTCGCGTCGTATGTGTTAATCCAGAGTCTCACCTATCCAGATATCAAATTTCAATTAAGTAAATCGGTTCAGCCGTTTTGTGTGAAAGAATAAACTACATACATTTTAACAACATTTATTATTAGTTGGATTTCTTATATTTGTACAAAGAGTAAGAAAAGAGCTAGAAAAAATGAGTGATAGAAAAAGCGTAGGCCAGGCTAGAAAGACAAGTTAATTGTTGATGGAGATCATCTTTGTCTATGTTTATTGTAATAATTACAACATACATAGTCTTGTATTGTAAATTATGGAATTGCATAATAAATCTGCATTATGTGAATCATAAACTAGAAATAACATTTTATTAATTACACATAACGACCTAATTAACTAATTGTTTTTTATTCATAGTCTTAGTTATTGGATGGCAATTTAAAAACAGTTTTTTGGTGCTATTTTTTTCACAAACATAGTCGCGCTATCATCACCGCAATGATACTTTCTCTGAGATTTTAATACCAGATTTGAGGCTTCGAAGTATAATATTAGATCTTATTTCGACAATTTAGTTTCTAGTTTTATTTCTTAGCAAATTATTGTTTTTACAAATCAAGTAATATAATCTTCTTTTATGGTATAATCTTCTTTTATTTTCATTTCGACCTAGACAAATTGTAAAACAACACATTTTAATTAATTTTATCCTCTAATTCTAGGCAAAAGACAAAGATAGTGGTGATTTCGGCAAGATAGTTTACCACAAAAACTCATGGACGAAAGCTGCAGAAGAGTACTTCAGTTTGGATGAGGATACAGGAGAGATTAGCAACATAAGGACGTTTGAGAACGTGCCCAAAGATGTACTGCCGTTCAAGTTCAGTGTGACTGCACGAGACAACCCTAATTCTGCACAGGATTATAAAATCGCTAGGGTTTCCGTTGTGGTGAGTATTTTACAAACTTTATTTATAATTTAGTGTATAATTTACTGTAGACTAGCTGGCAGTTGTTAGGTTAGAAGATCTGAACATATGAGCTAAGTGGGGTGCAATTTGAGAGGCCTATGTCCAGCAGTGGACGGTCAGGATACGAGGATGATGTTTTTTTATAATTTTATTTTTATGATTTTATTTTATAACAGCAATTTTTCTTGTTAATTATTGTAAGCGCTAATCTAAAGAGCTAAATTGTTAAAGCAGAGACCATTCTCATTTTAAATCATTTCAACTTGAAATTACTTTGATAATAAATTCACTCTGTCAGCTATTTTAGCACTTAAGGATTATTTATTCTTAATACATTCATTTCATTCATTTTCTTCAATTGAAAACCTAGCCCTATTAATACCAAAAATTGTAACCTTATCTTTTCAGAAAGTCAACACAACAATCTACCATATTATCTCTAATAACTTCAAAACTAAACCGCACTTATTCCTCACGTTTCCAGATAAACCTTCTACAACCAGATAACCAATTAGTAGTGGAAGTAGCGGATCAGAACGCTGAAGCCATGCGTCGTAGATCACGAAGCTTGCTCACTGCCATTGAAGAGAAGACAGGTTTAGTTGCTGGCCTTGAGAAATTTACTGCCAGACATTATTTGGGAGAGAATGGAACATTAGAGACTGATCCAAAGGGAACAGATGTATGGTTTTACCTATTGGATCCCGCTTCTGGAGTGATTTTGACCAGAGAATCTAAGTCAGTGAAAAAGTGAGTTGATTTTTGTTTCTCTAATTGAGTGATAGAATGGATAATATATTTGCGGTCTTTTGAATTAAATTGCAATATAAGTAAGTCGCATCTAATTGACTTTCTCTTGAATTGTAACATAAATAAAGTTAGTAGGTATCACCTTACTTGCATACAGTCATTGTTAAACATTCAGATAATGAACATAAAATTATATCCGTAATCATAACCAGATCCAATTACAAGATCCAAATAACAAAAATAATTTTATTAGCTAACGCCCGCGGTTTCATGGTATGTTCATAAAAATTAGCTAAATAGGCTAATTCTAAACTAAAACATAGATGAACAAATATCCTTCGAGTACCTAAATACCAAATGTAATCCAAATCGTTCCAGACGTTTTTGCTTGAAAGAATAACAAGATACTTTCCATTTATATTCACAAACTTTCACATTTATAATATATAGTAGAATCTATAACATAAGTAAGATAGTAGAATTAATATATGCTTGAATCCTACTATCCTAGTCGGATTCCTACAAGCATATTCGTATAAATAACATCCCTAATCAAACATGTACTTTTTAAATAACAGAGCTATAGAGGAAGGCGTGCACAAGGCGGTGGCGAGTCGGTTGCAGTGGCAGGTATCAGCCCCGCGCGGGCCGCTGTCGCCGGCGGAGGCCCCGCGCCGCCCCCACGTGGCCGCCGCGCCGCTCGCCACGGCGCTGCCCGCCGCACTCATTGCGCTCGCCGCCGTCGTACTAGTCGCCGCCATCGCTGCCACCATCTATATTTGCGCTTCTTGGAACAGGTAAGTCACAGTTGTGTGTGATTTTCTTTCGGTTTTACGGCGTATTATTATGAAGTGTAATTTTGAGCATTAAAATGTAAATGTGCCATGCTAAGTGTGGAAAAGACATGCTTCGGCACGAATGGTCGGTTCGACCAGAGTGATACCACGGCCTCACAGAAAACTGGCATGAAACAATCACAGCGTTGTGTTTCCGGAGGTTACCGGAGGTATCCTTCCCCTCCCCCAATCCCCAAAAGGTCGGCGACGCACTCGTAACTCCTCTGTTGTTGCGAGTGTCCATGGGCGGCGCTGATTGCTTACCTTTAGGTAATCCGCAAACAGGTTTGCCGACATATCACATAAAAAAATACTCAAACATAAATTACCAATAACATTCAAAAACCACTCTTAATTGCTTTCAATTCATAATAAAAATTCGCTTCACAGATACAAAAAGCATAAAGAACAAGCGATACAACAATACGGTACGCTAAGTATGAGCATGCCAACGCCACGGCCGGCGTCCGGCTACGAGTCCAGCGAGGACGATCCAGCGCCCCGGTACGAAACACAGGTAAATAAACGAGTATGTGTCATGTCATTTCATTCGCATGGTAATTTGTACAGCTTTGCATGCGACATGAAAAACTGTAAGTCATTCTGGTCTCTTTTTCTATACTGTTTCTAATTTCGTTGCATGGTTTGTCTTAAATTGAAAGCGTTATACACACTAAAACTCAAACCTCTAAACGCCAAAAATGTAAAACAAATGAATGCTAAAAAGAATTCCAGCCAAATCTGTGAACGCAATGTTTTAGAAATTTCTGGAAAGTTATGAAACAAATGAATACTGAAGTGTCGGATGAGAGCTAAGAAAACTATTGACACGAGTTGAGATTCAATATAGTATTTTCTCTTGTATTACTTAGCCCGTGATATGAGTCTAAAGGTTAAATCACTTCATTCAAACAAAATACTATTATTAAACTGTCAAATACGATAATTTTATTGTACGCAATTTTTACACTATTCTGAATAAATAGGCAGAAAGAAAATATAATAATGTTTATCGACAAGTCAATAAATAAAGTTACGACTATATTTTAATATATTGAATAGTCAAAATATTTTTTTTACCATAATATTAATTTTTTTTTTATTTAATCTACCGAATATTGGAAAAATCTTATTTTTCTCCAACTATAGCTATCTATATATTGAGTATTTAGCAAAGTTAATAATATTTTTCTAAAATATAGATAGTGCATGCATGTATGTAGTATTTTCATCGCATGCACCATAAACCAGTCTTGTCATTCTATATCATAAACCTTCTGTCATTTCATCTTCATACATTCAAATAAAAAAGAAAATCGCTAAAATGAACACTAATTTATTCATTTCATTTTTTATCGAATAAATAAGATAGCATTAACAATTTATTTTCGTTTATAGGTCTTAAACATGGCGGTTGACGATGCTGACTTGCAGTTGGACTTTAGCCCAAACAACCACGCATTCAACATACATAGCGTTCAGTATATGTCCAAAGAAAACGGTAAGTTGAAACTGCTTGACTTTATTTTCAACTTTATCACCTTAGTAATATGGAAAGAAATTGTAGGACAGCGATAATGTCTATTTCTTATTAAATAACTACTTGGGCCCTATACTTTTCTCATAGGTACTCTTTAAAGGTAGGCAATGGTACATAATGGCACATGAAGCCTCGTATAGTCGTATACAATGTACATCTTTCGCCAATTATGTAACAAACCATAAAACCATAAAATAGTGGGTTATGCTATTGGTTATGTGGGGTACCTACACAAATCAAATGGCTGTCAAATCTTGGTTCGAAACAATTTATTTTAATTTAAGACATTAAACATAAACATTTGTGCCGTTATTTTTTTATCTTTTTAATTTACGTAAGTCTCATTTATATTTCAGGTGAACGCAGCCCTACTCTTTCCGAGACAGCGACGACGGCGCGCGCATCCAGTGTGAACGAGAACGGAGGCACACTAAACAACATGCATAGTAATCAGGTGAGATATACATCGATATTTATTGTAGGTTTAAAACCAAAAATAAAGCGTTAAACCACTTCTGATATTATTAATTAAAATTATTGAAGGTGTGGTCATTGGCGTTTTTCATCCAATCTAGCTATTCTGTGTTCTCTGCCAATAAATCAGTTTTATTTGAACATTGAACACGTTAAACACGTAATATGTAAAAACCTCTTTAGTTATTAGTACTGTCTGACTAACTGACGAATAATTTACAACGATACCCCTGGATAGACCGTCAAAATGATATTTCAAAAGGTTCCTTGAAAAGAGCAAAGACTTCTTAGAGACGATATCTCGAAACTACTAAGAAAACGAAAACAAAAGAATGTAAACTTTAATTAGTACTAAATAAAATTCAAATTGTTATAGGTGTTCGAGCCCATAGCCAACAACTCAGCTCACAACCGTAACACGCAAACGTTGAACCGTCGCGCTGCGGCCGCCCCGCATCCGCTGAACAACGCTTTGGGAACATTACCTCGCGTCAACAATAACCACGCCCCCACTGGCCTTCTAGCGACTACACTAGGCCGCAAGATCAACGGTGGGAACAACCATAAGAAGAAAGCTACGCAACCAATCATGGCTTACGATGAAATACCTGGCCTACAAAGGTTTGTTGTGTTATTTTAATCCCAGTCAATTACTTCTGATGTAGATCCTGGACATGTACCGACTTGTCCACAAACATTATGCGTCTTAATATAGTGATTAACTTCTAAGGGAGTCACACAAAAAGACGAGCTACCCTGACCTAACTCCTAAAAGCATTGTTTTCAGTTGCACATGTAGCTAGTTAAGTTTATAGTAAAACCTATGACCTGCTAATTGTAATAATAGATTCTTCTATTCCAGGGCATCAGACAACGACAATGTTACGTTCGGTAAAAGAAATTTTACCGGATACAACTATGACCAGTCGCCAGTGGAAACCACCACGGAATTATAAACCTTATCTCACAGGCATAGTGATAATATATGCTTATTTCAAAGTGTTAACAAACTCAAAAACACTAAAGTGCCCTTAAAGTGAATTAATCAAAGTGAATTCCGTCCGAAGAAATTTTAATATTTTTTTGGAAACTTGTAACATTTGTGTTCAACGAATATAAATCTTCGCGTTATAAAAATACGACTGAACTCTCGAATAATATATAATGATGTTTTTTTTTTAATAAAAAATATGTGAATAACGAATTTTTAGATAATTATATTTTTGTACTTAATTAAATGGTAATTGTAATTTCTTAGCCAAGGCTAGTCCCTGTTTTTATGAACAAAATGTGCATAATAAATATGTAAATATGGCATTACATGGTGATGTATATTTTAAGGTACCTGAATTGTAAATGCAGGTACAAAAACTACTATACTTTACTATTTTTGTAAATCTATTTTTACGCGTCTCTGGCAAAGTGCCATCTTTACTTTCATAAAATTTTGTACGTAAATTTTACCGTTTATATTGGAACCAATGTTTGTTCTATTACTTTTGTAACAAATACCGACTGCTTTATGAGAACAAACGTTGGATCCAATGTTTGCGACTGTGTTTTTTTTATTAGAAATTACTTTTATCTAAAGTTTTAAATTTCATTCTTAAGAACAAATCTTTCTACTTCTTTACATGTTCTTTACGAATTTTGTGCCAGTTACTGTTAAAAGGTTATTATAAGGTTTTACTGTGTCTTTACTTGCGCCTGACTAGTCGCTGAAACGCGATCTTTCTCTTATTTGTTTTTAGTAAGAAAAGGAACATTTTTAATCCACAATATATAATAACAGGGCGGTGTAGAGATTAAAAAATAAAATAATAAAGTTAGCATAATGAATTAAAATGCTCAGTTTTTTTTATAATATGATTATTTTTTTATTAATTTTTGAATCTGGTTCGTTTATGTGATTTGTGCCAAACCGATACTAACCAATTTTTATTTATTCCGTATTGGAGAGTAAAATGTTACCTAATGTAGTGTCACTTGTATATCTTGTAAAATAAAATAAAATAAAATGTTTATTTTGATTGTGAAGAATAAATTGTATAATAATTTTTGTGGTAAAATTGTTAATATAATAAATATTTTGAAGTAAATTAATTTTTATTATCATCTTTTGTTTTCTTTTGAAGCTCCCAACAATCTTAACATATGCAAGTAAGTGTGGGCAATTTGTTTAGTAATTTCGTTCACCATCATATTCATCAGCCTATAAGTTCCCACTGCTGAGCAAAGGCCTCTTCTCATACGGAGAAGGTTTGAGCATTAATCACCACGCTTGCTCAATGCGGGTTGGCGATTTCAAACTTATAATTAGAAATTATAAGTCCAGGTTTGGTCACGATGTTTACCTTCACCGTATGTCAGTAGTGTCTAAATAATCATAGAAAGTAAATATAACTCGGAAAAAGTCACATTGGTACTTGCCAGATTTCGAAACCACACTTTCATGCATGAGAGGCGGGCTCCTTAACCTCCGGGCCACCACGACAATTTCGTTCAATGGATTTCTATAATCTTGGATTTTATTTAGGTACAACAATCATTGATTTTACATTGACATTTGGGCGAGAATTTCGGGAATCTTATTGACTAAAACGCGTGCGTTCGTGCAGCGGAATGTTGTTGAATTTAAAGATTTTAATGATGCAGATATTTAGTGTATGACGTCGTATAATTGTGTATGGTAAAAAAAAATTTGTGCACGCAACCATTGTGGAGAAATTCACCAAAAACTGATTCCGCTGGGCGAACGTTGTCCTGGCGGAACTTTTTTTAATCCATAGACTTTAGAAGAAAAGAGATGTATCCAAAAATTAGTGTGTATTTGTGTGTAATTGTGTATGTATGAATAAAACTAGTGCATGCATAAACTTCGGAGAAATTCAAGTTTCCGCTACGCGAACGTTTGGCCATTAGCTAGTTTTCATATAAAGCGCTTACATAGAGAGCTGTAGATTTTTACATATGTTGTTTTGAATTTGTGTATATTTGTTTAAAAATTAGATTGAGAAAAAATCGTAGGGTTTAAAAGATAAAAATATAAACGTAAAATACGCTTATTAGGGTGTCCGTTACCCAGGCCAGATGTTGTCGACAATGGTCATTTGAATCTTATAGATAATTAGTTGTGCGGCTTCTGTAATTGTTGCGCACATTTTTAAATTTGTTGCGCTTATAGTTTTTTAATTATTTCACAAAAACATTTCCTGCTGGCGTAACGTTACCACAGCCAGACCTTTTTCTTTCTAATGGGAATATTTAAATAAATATTAGCTATAAAATTAGTTGTCTAGATAAAGTAAATGTTGTGCCTTATTTTGTATTTGTTCTTTCTTCGGTTGCGAAGTTATTCGAGATTTTGCTGCGGTAACGTTTTTGGTTTTGCTAGATCTTTGAAATGGTTAAGCGGATTCTTATCATATTTTGTACACGACTTCCGAGGACTTAGTTTAAATTTGTTGTGCAATAACAAAACCAAAATAATGCATATTTTAAAGGTATTTTCATTAAATAGAAAAACACTTCAATTGGCCCCAGCACTCTCAATAAGAAGTCTAAAGACTTACTTTAAACGTAATTTTAAAGCTTGTAACTGCCTTCAAATGTATGTGAAGTTTCATTAGTATCCCGTAGGTATTTAACAAGTTATGATGATATTCAGTTCTTCACGAGCACGGTCTTAATGCACGCGGTGTTATTTGGCCACTGGATTGGATATATGAACTGAATGTTATGTCAATAATTAGTTGTTTAGATCAGTTGTATATCAGTAAAATTTCAGCTCAATACATTGGATAATTAATGAGATAATACTATGAAAGTCATTAGGAAGTGAATGACCGTGGTAAGCCGACCAAGTTTAGGTGGTTACGAAAAAGCGAAAACGCAGAACATTGTACTATCTTTTGAAATGTTTAGTATAATACACCTTACAATTTTGGTACAGACGCGTACACTGTTTAATACCTATATAATAATAATATAAAAGAAAACATTATCTTCCCGTTCCACAAAATTATCAAAAATCACCGCTAGAGCATGCCGTTCGGTAGGACGCAGGAGGAGTGGGGTGAAGGGGTAATACATTGTTTGCATAACGCACTCAGTCTTGCCAGAAGGTTACTTTTGTAACCTTTTAGATGATTTTTGAACTGCATTTTGAAATAGAAATGACAATAATGGGTGATGTTTAATCGGTTGCTAAGAAACACAAGTTTTTATAAGTAAGGGAGTAAAAGTTCAATTGAAATGATTATTTTACCTTTCAATAAAAAATCTTGAATAATCATGTAGTTTTTTTTTAAACTTTTGTACATGTCTGTACTAAATTTATAACACTATCCTACATATTTTAGAAGGTACCATAATGTTCTGCGTTTTCGCTTTTTCGTAACCACCTAAACTTGGTCGGCCTACCACGGTCATTCACTTCCTAATGACTTTCATAGTATTATCTCATTAATTATCCAATGTATTGAGCTGAAATTTTACTGATATACAACTGATCTAAGCAACTAATTATTGACATAACATTCAGTTCATATATCCAATCCAGTGGCCAAATAACACCGCGTGCATTAAGACCGTGCTCGTGAAGAACTGAATATCATCATAACTTGTTAAATACTTACGGGATACTAATGAAACTTCACATACATTTGAAGGCAGTTACAAGCTTTAAAATTACGTTTAAAGTAAGTCTTTAGACTTCTTACTGAGAGTGCTGGGGCCAATTGAAGTGTTTTTCTATTTAATGAAAATACCTTTAAAATATGCATTATTTTGGTTTTGTTATTGCACAACAAATTTAAACTAAGTCCTCGGAAGTCGTGTACAAAATATGATAAGAATCCGCTTAACCATTTCAAAGATCTAGCAAAACCAAAAACGTTACCGCAGCAAAATGTCGAATAACTTCGCAACCGAAGAAAGAACAAATACAAAATAAGGCACAACATTTACTTTATCTAGACAACTAATTTTATAGCTAATATTTATTTAAATATTCCCATTAGAAAGAAAAAGGTCTGGCTGTGGTAACGTTACGCCAGCAGGAAATGTTTTTGTGAAATAATTAAAAAACTATAAGCGCAACAAATTTAAAAATGTGCGCAACAATTACAGAAGCCACACAACTAATTATCTATAAGATTCAAATGACCATTGTCGACAACATCTGGCCTGGATAACGGACACCTTATTAGGTCTTAGTTCTTAAAGTATGCACTTTAGGGTCTAGATTTTCACGTTTATACAAACCTTGTAAGTGTCTGCAACATGTTGCCAAGTATCAATGATGTTCCGTTAGTAATTAAATAGTTATAGGACAAATTTACCATGAATAGATCACTGTTTACAAAGCAGTCAAATATCACGACGTTCTAAATGAATTGCATGGTAAAATGTATGCCAATAATTAGTGTATTCATTCAACTATTCATATGCAAAATTTCATGTCATTAAATTCAGTAATTAAAGAAAAACAATTATAATACTGACGAAGTATCGAAAACCTACATAACCCGACCAAGTTCGGATGGCTACAAAAAAGCGGCTGTTCAATATATTTAGGTAACATCCCAAAATTTACAGTATAATACCGGTATTGAATTGGTACAGGTGATAACACACTTGTTGTTTCGAAATAATTTATAGGTCATTTATTTTTGGACACCTACTTTTTTAAATGTATTTGACTATGACAGAAAGTAGGTACTATTTACGTAGGTACTTTATTTAAGTATGCGCTTGAGACTTGAGATATAATCTAATTGTATTTAAGACAAATAAAATTCATACAGCTAATTTCTATTGAAGATTTCACGGATCAGGATTCTAACTATAGACCCCTTAGGGAAATTAAATATTTACCACATGTAAGTATTGAAGTACTACTGATTAGGTAAATATTTATCATATTGTAGCTTATTACACTATTTAACCAATATTTTTTATTACACTATTTAACCAATAGAGGTATGCACGAGCGTGTGTACGATACTGTGTTTTATTTTTTCCTAACGCTTGTGTACGATACTGTACCATATTAATAAATGCTATATTGGAAAGTTAAGAACGTTTCTTAGATATATGGCACGGCCGCTTTTTTGTAGCCATCCGAACTTGGTCGGGGTATATAGGTTTTCGATGCTTCGTCAGTATTATAATTGTTTTTCTTTAATTACTGAATTTAATGACATGAAATTTTGCATGTGAACAGTTGAATGAATACACTAATTACTGGCATACATTTTACCATGCAATTCATTTAGAACGTCGTGATATTTGACTGTTTTGTAAACAGTGATCTATTCATGGTAAATTTGTCCTATAACTATTTAATTACTAACGGAACATCATTGATACTTGGCAACATGTTGCAGACACTTACAAGGTTTGTATAAACGTGAAAATCTAGACCCTAAAGTGCATACTTTAAGAACTAAGACCTAATAAGCGTATTTTACGTTTATATTTTTATCTTTTAAACCCTACGATTTTTTCTCAATCTGTTTTTTAAACAAATATACACAAATTCAAAACAACATATGTAAAAATCTACAGCTCTCTATGTAAGCGCTTTATATGAAAACTAGCTAATGGCCAAACGTTCGCGTAGCGGAAACTTGAATTTCTCCGAAGTTTATACATGCACTAGTTTTATTCATACATACACAATTACACACAAATACACACTAATTTTTGGATACATCTCTTTTCTTCTAAAGTCTATGGATTAAAAAAAGTTCCGCCAGGACAACGTTCGCCCAGCGGAATCAGTTTTTGGTGAATTTCTCCACAATGGTTGCGTGCACAAATTTTTTTTTACCATACACAATTAAACGACGTCATACACTAAATATCTGCATAATTAAAATCTTTAAATTCAACAACATTCCGCTGCACGAACGCACGCGACTAAAACCGATCCGTTTTTCCGGGGTTGCGGGGTATACGCAATGAGGCACCGCGACCTCGGCCCAGAGTAGGAGAAGGAACGGGTGGGTTTTTAGTCAGTAAAAGTCTGACACTCTCTCTCGCCTTACCAATCATTGGATAATTTTCAACTGACAAAAAAAAAAAAAAAAAAAGCCGCAAGCTTGTTACTTGATCTCCGTCACAATATCGGCCCTAGTGAGACCTGCCTATAGTTGTATACCTAATGGCTCTTTAAAGTTCCTACGCTTGGGTCTGATAGGTACAGGTCCGATTCCCGTTCTAGAATGTTTAAATTGTGAAAAAAATTGCCTTTTTCATTTTTTTTTCTTTTATTACCTACCAATTACTTTTTACCTACTAATTAATATCATACCATAATTCCTGGCAAAATCTCCACTTGATTTAGATTACAAGAAATTTCATTAATATCGCACGCAATTAAATTTACTTCCTTACCTACACATCTTTTCTTTCACAGTAAAATAGCAACCACCTTAATTGCCAAGTAAAAGGTTCGGTAAGGGTGACGGTAGGGGCAGAAAACCCTTTAAACAATTCTGAATGGCCGTGTTAAATTGAATTTTAATGATCGCAACGAATCCTTTTCGTTGAATTTTCTGTAATGTGATCGTATTTTAATATATTTTCCATAGGATAGGGTTGCAGACGAAAAGACGGGACACTGTATGGTTAAGTAATCGGTACCGGTAAATGGTATCTAAGTTTAGGAGAGCCATGCTTCGACACGAATGGGTCGGCTTGACCGGAGTAATACCATGGCCTCACAGAAACCGGCGTTAAACAATAACTAATTAGTTTTTTTTTTAAGTACCTAGATAATAGTATTTATATAAAATTTACAATACAACTTAATGGCGTAAGCTGTAATGTTGTATATGTAAATATTCTTAATAAATAAATAAATAAATGACAGTGTTGTGTTTCGCCGAGTGAGTGATGTTACCGGAGCCTCATTCTAAGGACACCATTGCTGATCATTTGACGGTTTAGATTTGGGGATAGGTAGGCGAAATATTGGGCCACTGATTACTTCTCTCTCACGTCGAAATACAATGAAAACATGGTTTTACGCCGGTTTTCTGTGAGACCGTGGTACCAAAGGCCGGTAATGCTGACCCATGCCTTGCATGCTTCTCCCATTAGTCAAGGTTTTTTAAGTCTTCAAAAAGGAGGAATTTTACAATTTGATTGTGTTTTAGTGTGTTGCGAACACAGACAATTTGTTTGTTATGCTTGTTGCCTTCTTTTAGGTAGATTTCATGAAAAGTAAACTTATTTATGATATTTTTAACATTCGACTGCACGGTTGGTGCGGTGGCTGGACAACTGGCTGCCGTGCAACGTGTCGCGGGTTCGATTCCCGTACGTAACAACTCTATGTGTGATCTGGGTGGCATGTGTATGTGAGATTGTATGTTTGTAACCGCACGCACCACACAGGAGAGAGTCCTAATGTTGGGCAACGTTTTTTTTAAAAAAAATGTTTTTATAATCCCAAACGCTAACGTTGGGTTAAATTTGTGCATTCAATTTATGAGTATTGTAATCATCTAGCTTTAATTAAATCGAACAAATCGTTTTGAAAGTTAAATTGACAAATAGGTTCTTAATAAGAAAATACACAATACCTGAATTTACCACCGCTCTACAGCGAAAAATCTGACATGGTTTCTGTCATAGTTAAAAACCTATTTGAAAATATTCGACAGAACTTGTAACAAAACTAGTTAGTTAAAAACCATTGAATCTACAAAGGAAAAAAATGTAAAGCCACTCACAATAATGAATGTACCTCTTCATATTTTCCAAAGACATTGTACAATTTGAACGAGCAATGAAAGTCTGAAAGCCTGTTCAAAGCAATGTATACAAGTGTTCTGACATCTCGGCGTTTGACGATCCATCAAACTGCGACGCTGGTGGATTGTAAATGTGATATAAAACTCCCCCCCTCCCTCCATCCAAAATTTTTCCAGCAATAAAATTATAGGTAGGTACTTTTGTAGGGAGAGTTGTATTTTCTTTTATTTTTCACGTTGGTTCTGAATTTGTAAGCTAGCATAAACGTGCGTCATTTTAACTCGGTGCAAAATTAACAAAAAGTATTTAGGATTTGTTTTCTCTCAAGAAGAAATTTATCTTCTTAGGGTAGTTAGCTTGGTGCGTAGCGTTCCGGGCATGCCTCAAAGAGCCAATAGACCACCACAGCCGGGCCCTATAAGGCTTATGCGCAATGAGTCACCGCGGCCTCGGCCCAGAGTAGAGCAGTAGAAAGAACGGGGGTGTTTTTAGTCAGTAAAACTGACAGACTGACACTTTCTTTCTCGCCTTACTCTGGGCGGGAGAAGTCATTTGATGATTTTCCCCTGACAATTAAAGGGTAGTTAGCTTGGAGTGATACAATTAACTTAATACAAATATACATGGTATGAATAACCACGGATAAGAGACCCATTGGGACTTGAAACTAGTAGAGATTTACAGTTCCTTCGCCTGATTAAATCGTTAATTTCCATCAATATAGCTGGTGGTTAAAAAGTTAGTCCAAAACAAGAGAAAGTAGTGAGAACAATGTGTATGAACGTGGGATTATTTCTCGTATATCTCAATTTATTCTTTTAAAAAATCGAAATCATTTTTATCTTTACAATTACTTAGTTTTAAATATCTTCTTATATCTTATATATAGTCTTCTAGTCTTCAGCCCTTCGCAGTACAAGCCAAAATATGTCTCAAGTACAGTGTATTTCGTCGAGCAATCTCACAAGCGTACATTTTTAAATTTAATATCTCTTTGTAGCGTGGTCCCCGGTGAATATGACCGTCGCGTCGTACAGAATTACTGAAATGTCGAATAATATAAAATTCACTCATAATGGCTTGTTCTGTACCTGACCTAGCTACTCATATTTTGGAAGATGTGTGTTACTTACCTACATTTGTAGTTTAATCATTTCGAGTTGTTTGACCTTGAAAAAATCTACATTTGGCTCTCCAAGGGCTTAGTGTAAGTTTACTTTATTTTAAGGCTATCGATACGTTTATTACTTTCGGTGCTCTGATTAGCCAGCTTATTTATTTTTACTATAGGTTTTTCAATTTGGATATTTATTTCGATGATAACTATGGCGGCAAACACACCAACAACACAAGATGATCTGCAAATTCCTCGCCGACCTCCAAAGAAAGGATTTTAGAGATTTCGAGATTGGGGACTAAAGGGAGGACGAGAAGGATTGGGTCTCCTAACCTCACTCAGACGGCAAAACACATCGTGCGTCGGTTTTTTTATGATGGTAATCAATCAGCCCCGCCCGTGGACACCGGCAAGAACAGTTAACGCTGTGGTTGTTTCACGCCGGTTTTCTGTGAAGCCATGGCAATATTCCAGTCCAGCCGGCCTATGCGTACCGAACTATGGCTTCTTTACTCCTTCCAAGTTAACCTACCAATCAGATGGCAAACGTTTCAAATATAGAAAACTCGCACTTAACACTCTGAAATAAAGTTTAGAAATATTTACAGAATAACTCAATTATTTGTGACATTTTCCCTTTTTAAAACAGATAGACTTAGAAGTCGTGTGTATAATTATCTTTAGGAGGTATGTTAATCTACGAACTTGACCCATAAACCATTGGAGAGGTCGCCGTCTCCCAGACGGACATAACTCGTGAATTAATGTTACTGAAATTAGTTTCAGTTTGATGTTCCCTGTTTTCGGTAACTAGTGGCTCTTGAGACGTCCGCCTTCCTTGTAAAGGGTGTTTTACAATGAAATAGTTAATAATGAGACAGAGTTAGTTAAGTAAGCTAAAAGTAAAAATTTTATGATATTTGATTAAGTGTGGGTGAGCCAAGCTTCCACAGGAATGCTTGGGTTCGACCGGATTGATATCACGGCCTCATTGAAAACCGGCGTAAAATAGCCACAGTGAGGTATAAAGCCGTATGAGTGACGTTACCGGAGGCCCAATCCTTAACTTGCTCCTATCCCTTCCCAATCCTTTTTTTTTTTTTTGTATGTGATAGGACGGCAAACGAGCAGACGGATTACCTGATGGTAAGCAATCGGCGTCGCCCATGGACACCCGCAACAAAGAAGGAGTTACCAGTGCGTTGCCGACCTTTTAAGGATTGGGAATCCTTCAATATCCGAAACCTGAATCCTCAAAAGACTGGCAACGTATTCGTAACACCTTCGGTGTTGCGGGTGTTCATGCTCATTGCTTACGATCAGGTAAAGCGAAGGTAGGTTTGCCGCACTATTACATAAAAAAAAGATAAGACTGTTAATGAGCATTGAAAAATGCTTTTTGTCTCATTTGCTTTCCTGAATAAATGGATTAATGAAGTCGGTTAAAAACAAAAAAAAGAAATGTTCAATTCAAACCAGTACCTAGTTTCGGAGATTAGCGCATTCAAACAATCAAACTCTAGTTTTATAATAGATATTGAAAATTATAATACTAATCGAAAGTAGTGAATAATGGCTTAGGATCCCCTGTGTAACACACTGACTTTAAGATGTGAGCAGTCTGTTAATGCCTTATGTCCGGGCGATCGTAACGTGCATACTAATATTACTAATGTTCTTGATGACTTATGGGCTATTGGAGTATGTGAAGGTAAAGGAAGATGTCTCAATTAATCTCGTAGTATTTAATAAGGTTTTATTGATTTACTGGTACTATTAGTGTTATTTCGTTTCATAGTACAAACACCTTAAATAAATATTTAAGAATAAAGTCTATCTAATGCTGTATGTAGTGTTTTTTTCATTTTTTTATTTTTTAGTATAATTATGTATGTGACGTATTCCCATTACGTTGGTAGATAATATACACAAATTGTTCGTAGAAATGAATGAATTGTATATGTTAAAGAAACACACTTGTTACCCCTCCAGTGTTGCGGTTGTCCGTGGGTAATGCCGATTGCTTACGATCAGGTAATCCGTCAGCTTAAATGCCGACGAGAAAAGAAAAAAAAACACAGGATCGTACTCGGAAAATTACCGCTGTACCATAAAAAATCCAAAGGCAGAGAGAAAGAAACCTTAAGAATATTTTTAACGATTTATAATGGAACTAGCTATCTTTATTAAGAACACTTAATTAGTTTTGTAAATGCAATTTTAAGCCTAATCGCAATTATAAGAAGACGTTATATAAACGTATGTATCTTTTTCCCACATTAGCCAGCCCTGGATCAACAAGTAAAATTGTCTAAACAGCAAGATAAGATAAGTATTTAGTAAAAAACTATTTAAGTAGCTTTTAGGATAACTTAGTATATAGAAGTTACTGGACTATACCTTTCATCGGCCAGCGCTTAAAAGCTTCGTCGGCTTTCATTATAAACCCTTTTAAAACTAAAAGCCTTTTCATATATGTTCTTGTTTATATATGTATTTACAGCAGGTAAATGTAATTCTACCTAAGTCATGAAGCAAAAAACCCGTTGCTTCATGATCAAAGTTGTATCAACATAAAGATGCTTGCGTAATAGTGAAGATATTCGTTGTTCCCAGAATGAGATTTGATGAAAAATTCGCTTAGAAGGTAAAATACTATTGTGATCATATTCTCGGCCTTGGCTAGAGCAGGAGAAGAAACACGGGGGCGTTTTCAGTCAGTAAGAGTCTGACACAGGACAGGGACAAGGACAGGGACAGGGCGTCTAAGCTTCTGATACACGAAACGGATACGTATTTCTTTTGTTTCTCTTTTTAGTTTACTTACTTATGCCAGGAAGGAATGTTGATATGGTTCACCATTACCATACAAGTAAATATTATATAAATTAAAATAAAATTTTATGTTTGATAAAATTGAAAATATTGTTAAAGATGAAGTATTTTCATTGCCTTTTACAAAGGATTGTATTTGATTGCATTGTAACATTATGTATACTTTCTCATTATTTAATTCCTCAAACATACAAAGAACTGGTTTTAAATAATTAGTGAGTCGTTTTTTAAATAATTATTTTTTTGTCATATCAAATGAAGTCTTATGACAGTAATTCACTTAATTAAGTTGTGTACTTGTATTTATTCAAATGGTCATCACCTTATTGTTTTGTTTACAACTTATTCCAGGAGCCCATACTTGGAGACGACCCAGTGTCTTCTTCGATACTTCCCTGTCAAAAGTATTAAGACCTATACTAATTTAATTTTATAAACTAACTTGTGACTGGTTCGTTGGTCAAGTTTCAATTCTTCGAACGGCAAAGGGGTTTGTAATTATCATTTTAACTGGCTTTTGCCATCGGCTTTTGCCATAGTATGACCATGGTAAAAAGTAGCTTAAGCGCAATTCAAAACTATAATTCATCTCTAAGTGTAGAAGAGCCATGCTGTTGAATGAATGGGTCGGCTCGACCGGAATAATACCACCGCCTCACAGGAAAAGGCAGGCAAAATCGGCAGGAAGAATAGGTGAAGAACCAGAACCGCTAACGGTTGTCGGAGATCATCTCTCGAATCGAGTTATAGCAAGCTCAATATTGTATCGACGCACGCCCCGACCCGGCGTAAAAGAAGGAACAGGGTGGATGTCCAGTTATAAAGCATTTTATACAATAAATGTGTATTATACAATGCAATTACATACAGTTTGAAAAAAAGTGTTTTAAATGAAAAATAAAAACTGAAACAGAAATACATAAATGACAAAAAAACACGCTTCCTTTGTTAGTTATTTTTTTATGAAACACATTGTCATGACCAATAGAAATTTTATAACAATAAATTTATTGAAAAATCGTGCCGTGACGTGTTGTAGGTATTTATTTAAATTATTTATTTTATTGAATCATATTAAAGTTTGCATGTTTTTTTGTTTAATTATTGGAAACGTTTTCAATTGATAATGAATACCTAATTAGTTGTTTGACAAAGTTAATAAATACGCCAGATGTTTAATGTACTGCATACAGTACAGTCGCAATGTTGGTTTTTGTTGGGTTATTAATTTTAAATTATGTTGGGGGGATATTCTCGAGTGTGAGGCCTCCACCGTCGCCTTGTGATGATTCAGGTAAGATATAATAGATGTGAGGAAACTAGACTTTTCCCGTGTACCGAATAGGTCTTATACATACATTATGTGCAGAGGAGATCCCTAGGTCAGTAAGGAACTGGTACTTACTCTGTATTTAATCTACGTACCTACGTAAGTCTCTTCCCAATTAGTTTATTTTGTTGGTACGGCGCCGCCCTTGGACTACCCGTAACAATAAAGTGCGTTGCTGGCGTATTGGTGTAAAGGGGTTTGAGGATTTAGGGATTTTAGGGGAAGGATTGGGCCTCCAATAACCTCATCTACACTATGAACCACAATATAGTGGTTGTTTCCTCACGCCTCAGCCGTCGCAACAAGCGACACGTTGGGGATCAAGGGACGATCTCGACGATCGACGTAAGCGCGGGTCTGCGGTCGGCGAGTAAGGGTAGCTCGCCGCCCGACCAGAACCAGGCCCGAGCGTACGGCGCGTAGCTTTCCGTGCGCGCTTCAAAGAGCCAATAGACCACCACAGACGGGGCCCTAAAGGGCTGATGTTCAGCCGGGGTTGCGGGGTAAGCGTAATGAGGCACCGCGACGTCGGCCCAGGAGAAGGAACAGGGGGGTTTTTAGTCAGTAAGAGTCTGACACTCCCTCCCGCCCGGCCCTGGGCGGGAGAAGTCATTTAATGATTTTCCGATCACAAAAAAAAAATACTGTGGTTGTTTTACTTATCTACTTTAATGCATGTGATGAATTTTATGAACAACTTAAAGCCATAATTTATCGTTGCCTTATCTACTTTAGTGATATAGTAGCTACATATAAGAAAGTAAGCATCGATTAATTCATATACTAGTAGTGAATATAATATAAATTGTATTAACGTAGGATAATCGTTGTTCTAGTTAAAAGCTATTTAAATACTAATTAATTATGGCACTATAGTATTTTCGTGTAAATACCCTGCATAATGAAACAGATAACATTAAAATAATTCAAATATTTTATAAGGTACTAGCTACTCTCGCGCGGTTTAACCCGCTGCTCAGCTCCATTTGATCGTAGCGTGATGTTTTATAGCCTGTAGCACTCAGGAACATTATTGTAGCTATCTATCAGTGAAAGAATTCTTGCAATCCGGCCAGCGGTTCCAAAGATTACCCATACAAACTTATAAATTTTATTTCTTTATAATATTAGTTTAGACTAAACAAACATGTTGTAATGAAAACTTGACATTAAATCACAAATATAGGATTTGCTTTTTCTAAATCCTAATTACATACATAGATAGTAGAAGACATTACGGTAAGATTGATTTAAATATTTTTTGTTATTTTTTTTCAACTAGTACTTTTACCACCATTAATTTGATGGATGTTCCTCCTTCCTTCCTTTTTAATTAATCTAATTAAAACACCGCATCAAAATCCATTACGTAGTATAGTATATAGTATATATATCCCTATGCATGCGAGCATGCCTAAATCTTTCTACGTACTTATTGTTTGATTATTTATTTTAAATTTTGGTTAGAAGTATGATATGCTTATAAAAATAATAATTTTATATTGAAAAATCTATTTTAATAGTTAGAAATATAAATATACCTATTAATTTGATATAATTATAAAAGCATACTAGCGGACCCTCCCCGAAAACAATGGCCCGACGATTTCGCTGTTTCATATGTGGATATCGAACAGCAAAATCGTCATGGTCATTTCCGAGATCACATGCATTTTTTAGCAATCAGCGCAACCTGGCTGCAGTTATAAAGATAGTAAGTAGTTATATATTTGTTTCAGAACCTCTGTGTCCACCAAATCAACATTACACCAAAAATAATTCACACTGCATCAAGACCTGTTCTGACAGATTCAAGTCGTGCTCCGATCCTTGCCAACCGTACACTGGATGTGTCTGCGATCACGGTTTCGTTAGATTGTATGACTATGGAACTGGGCCTTGTGTTCCCGAGTTTATTTGTAGTAAGTAGATTTTGAGGCTCTCCTCGCCTACTGTTTTTTTTATGTCAAAGGCAGCGGGGTAAGCGCAATGAGGCACCGCGGCTTTAGCCCAGAGTAGGAGAAGGAGCAAGCGGATTTTTAGTCAGTAAGAGTCTGACACTCCCTCACGCCCGACAAAACACCCATAACTTGGTTGCACACGCCTCCTACTACATGGTGTGACTGTAAACACAAAGTAGACTCGAGCGCACGGCGCGTTCCGCGCACTCTTCTACAGAGTCAATAGACAAGTGCAATAAGGCACCGCGCCCTTGATCTACAATAGGAAAAGGAACGGGAGAGTTTTTGGTCTGTGAGAGTCTGAAAAATCGAAATCTATCCAGGGATATTATTTGTTTTTTTTATGCAGTAAGTACCTGTGTCGGCAAAAGAACAGACGTATTACCTGATGGTAAGCTATCGGCGCGAAACCCGCAAAACCAGAGGAGTTACGCGTGCTTCTTTGTTGAGGTTCATGGTTCAAATATTGTACTGTTTATGATGTATTAAATATATATTACTTCAAGGTTGCTTATTATATTTTTGTGTGTGATCAATGTTTGTACCTGGAATTTTGTCTAGACGTAAAAATCTTACAGCGTCTTTTGTTACAATCAGTACCTAATGCCCTTTGTCAAAATGAAGATCTTTCATTCTTCGAGGCCTTTAACTTTGTTTATGTTTTAAAGAACGCTATCTAGTTTATATTTTGAAAAAAAAGGGTCTTAGGCCCCTCTTTTGTTTTAAGTTTTTCAATAAGCAGTGCAACTTTAATGAAATGTGTGCGAATAGCCTACTACATATTTGTGGGGGTGTGACGCACGCCAAATGAAAATCATGCGAATCGACTACAGAAAAAAATAATATGTTTTAAAGGAGTCGTTTTTTGCGCGTTAAATTCTTGCGAATCGTCCTTAAGCCCTTTTTTCACATTTCTTTAATGAATCCATCAATTATTTCCGCTATTAGGTACGCAATATAACTACTAAAAATATTAAAAGAATAACTAAAAAAATATTAAGATAAATTTGACTGCACGGTTGGCGCGGTGGCTGGGCAACTGGCTGCCGCACAACGTGCCGCGGGTTCGATAGCCGCACGCAACCACTCATTATCTGATCCACAAATTGTGGTTTCGGGTCAGGGAATGGTGTGTATGGCCATATTGTAAGTTTGTCAACGCACCCACGACACAGAAGAAAATCCTAGTTTGGGGCAACATCTTTTTTTTTAATATAAATGTTTATTTATTTTTCCATTAGGTATATTCGACAGGCCATTATGTTCGAGACATCAGTATTACACAGAAAATGACCCTCAATGTATACGGACCTGTGCGAACAGTTTGGTGCCAGCTTCAGATTCCTGTAAGCCGTACACTGGTTGTGTCTGCCATAAAGGTCGAGTGAGGTTGCATGATGATGCCACTGGGCCTTGTGTTCGCGAATCTACGTGCTGTAAGTAAAGTTGAAGCATTTGAATTATTTAAAATTAGCTTTTACCTACTTTGTTTTTTTTAATGTGATAGATCGGCAAACTAGCATACGGATTACCTGATGGTAAGCAATCAGCGCCGCCCATGGACGACCGCAACGACGGAGGAGTAACGAGTGTGTTGCCGACTGAGATAGGGGACGGATTGGGCCTCCGGTAACTTCACTCACACGGCGAAACACAACGCTGTGGTTGTTTCAAGCCGGTTTTCTGTGAGGCCTTGGTATTACTCCGGTTGAGCCGACCCATTTGTGCCGAAGCTTGGCTCTCCCACACTTACGTTCGTTTTTGCGAGTTAGCCTTTATCTCTCTTTTTTGTTGTATAGGTCGGCAAACAAGCAGTTTGATTACCTGATGGTAAGCAATCGACGCCGCCCTTGGATATTAGTAATGAGGAAATGCATCTCTGTATGCAAATTGCAAGAAAGTTGGGCAAAGTAGTACCTGCCTACATAGGTATTGTACTTCACGGCCAAAGGTTTTGATTGTATTATGTAGAGCGTCAATTTATTGTAGCCTTTTGGATACCATTCTTTACTTAAACATTACGGAACCATTCGTGTATTAACAATGCACACATATACACATATGAATATGTTAATTACACAGCTGTTTGTGATACATAGGCAATTGTGTTAAAAATCTTTTCTTTTCTAAGAAAACAATTTTTCCTTTGTACAGTATTTCACGTGTAAAAATTATATTGTTTGTTACTTCTTAAACAAATATTTAGCCAGCTTACATATATTAATGAAGTAAAAAAAACTTTGATTTTACGAACATCCTGCATATCAAGCTACCTCAGTTTGTCAAATCGTTTCAATAGATATTCAACTTTACAGTTTCGGATTAAGGTTGATAATTGGTTGAATATTGGTACTAATTAATGAGCTGCTATTTGTATTGTTATAAATGTACACGTTTTCGTGATTTATGGGTACAAATAATGGCCAAACGTGTATAAAGTACCTGTTTGTTTTAATTGGTTATTATAGATAGGTATTTGAATATACAAACACATGTGAATCTACACTAATATTATAAGAGGCAAAATTTGTAAGTTTGCATGTTGATCTTTAGAACTGCTGGTCGAATTTCCAAAATTCTTTCACTCATAGATATCGATATACTCCTGTTATATACGACGATATATATGTACTCTTATTATATGCGTGGGAAGCCGCGGATGAAAGCTAGTTAATTAATAACTTATTTATGTCGTTTGCCTCATTGAAATCAATCGTCGGAAACTTAATATTATCCAAAATTCCGTAAAAAATAGTTAAGCGATTTTAACGTAATGAAATCAAGTTCTCGACTCTCCGCTTTGATCAAAAAAACTTCTTTTCATTCGGAGAATGTACATATGAGCATTAATCATTTCACTTGCTCAAGGCGGATTAGCGATTCCAAAATTATAATCAGTAAATCCAGTTTTATCCAGTCTTACACTTCACGCGCAGTCCAAGTTTCCTTACGATGTTTTCCTCGCCGTATAACAACGATGTCTAAATAACTTTGACATCCACCACCTTTGACCATCAACTAAGACTCTGCGTTTTGTTATTAGGTATTCTTAACGGATGTTTCGAGATATCTTAGCAGTCGTAAGAGCTCTTACCAGTATTCTGCATATCAACTGGAATGTGGTTTTAAGTATAGAATTAGTATCACCATGTATGTTCATTGTTCATGTTATTGCTATTGCCTAACGTTTTATCAATTATTTAAACAGTATCCCTTTCGTGACTAATTAAATGGCTATTTATTTCTATATCTACAATAACCAGCTTTTTACGATCATTCGTGAGATTTATTCAAATAAATTTTAATGGTTTTCGAAATATTTTATTTTTCAGTGCTGTTATACTAAACCGTAGTAACAAAATTAAATGATATAACTGCAGGGTGGCTGTAGCACAACGTGAGGCGGGTTCGATTTCCGCACGGAACAACTCTTTGTGTGATCCAAAAATTGTTGTTCCGTGTCTGGGTGTGATGTGCATGTGAAATTGTATGTTTGTAAATGCATCCAAGACACAGGAGATAATCCTAGCGTGGGGCAACGTTCGAAAAAAAATATACCAATTATAATAAGATTTCGCGAACTATAACTACGACTACCTAGATAAGGCAACAGAATCCTTATTTTTTTTCGTAACTGCCCCTTGCCATCTTCCCTCTTTCTCTCCAAAGTTCAGTCCAAAATATTCCGATATATTCCGTTTGATGGTAATAATGATTTTATCAAAAAAATTAGACCAAAGTCAATATAAAGTACCTTACTAACGCGTTCTGCAGTTTGTTAGAAGAGACCTGCACAACTGTTATGCTAATATTAAATTTTACTGGTTTATGAAATTCGAATGTAACATACAACGATGCTATCTATTGCTTAGCCTTGAAAAATGTATTTATTGATTTTATCATTTATGTAACAGTTTAAACATTATTTGTAGTTTATTATTTCACGAGAGTTTGTACTTCTAAACTTAAATGTATGGATATTTGATTACCACACAATATAATGATACCTTCGAGCTGGACTGTCTTGTTGTAAACATATCTCTTTTAGGCGCATTTCATATGTCCATTTTTGTATTTCTGACAACAAGTACATCAATACTATTAAAAGCAATTTCAGAATGCAATACTATGTGTAGATTCAAACAATAAATCATCAGCATGACAAGCAATAAAGTGATCTACGTCATAAGAATTTAGTTCCAATATTGTGTTTTAGCAATGCTGTTATGCAAAGACCCGAATGCCGTGTACAAGAGTTGCCCCGACCCTTGTCCAGAGACTTGTGACACACCAAAACCAGAAGTATGTACGAAGGCATGCGTCAAAAATGGCTGTGAATGTCGTCGTGGATACGTACTGGACAAGATTAATGGGACATGTGTTAAACGTAAACATTGCCCCGGTAAGAAAACTATTCATTTCTAAGATTACAGGAGTAAAAAAACTGCGAATATTAAAATCTTAGTAGAAATAAGGTAAATAGGGTGATTAACAAACGTTAAAAGAAGGACGTTAGAAGAAGGAAGAGATTTAAGACCGCTGTCTTTATAGTTGCAAAGCATTACTGGTACAAATTTACTTGCAAAAATTATCAGCGTCATTAAATTAATGAATTTAGTTTTGTAAAATAGTTAAATGTAAACAGGACATATAAAACTACTCTTTTACACTTCAATATAATATTAAAAAAATATAAGATGTTCGGCATTTTCTATCGGACTACTCTAAGAAGGAATACCGAAACAATCACAGGTCAATCTCCTTTGAAGACCAGATATATTATACAAAATTATATAGGAGAACCGTGCCAGCTCATTCTGTAGCGGCCTTTTGTGGAAAGAACCACACCAGTTTGAGTGGAGCCGTTTTGACGATATTAATTCTGTTAAGTATCTCAATTACAGTAAATAAATGCAGTGATCCCCACGCAATATACAAAGAATGTCCTAACCCGTGCCCATTGACATGTGAACATCCGAACCCAAGGCCATGTGCAGCAATGTGTTTGAGGGAGGGATGCGAATGTGACTCAGGTTATGTTCTGGACACTGAAAGTGGAAAATGTATTAAGTTGGAGGATTGTCCAGGTATTTGACTTTTATGAATAGTAATAATATATTATATTAAGTTACTGATTGTTTCTTAAGCTTAATGCACGCTCATTAGTTAAGGGTGATATTGATGAAGCCTAAAATGTATAACAGAACCGTGTCATTTAGCATTCTATTATGTCTGCCTATCGTAAGTAGAGACAAAGGCACGCATCTCGTCTCATATGCTTTCAAAAATCTGTTCTCAGTTCATACAGCTGAATCACGGTATGTATCTTTTTATGTGATAGGTCGGCAAACAAGTACACGGATTATCTGATGGTAAGCAATCAGCGCCACTCATGGTTACCTGCAACAACGGAGGAGATACAGGAGCATTGCCGACCTTTTGGGGATAAGGTTTTGGCTCCTCATGAGCTAGGCTATCCAGATAGGTTGGGCTCATAAGCTGGACATGTTTTGATATCTTTATCAGTAAATAAGTAGAACTATAACAGTTAAGTTATTTTTTTATGTTGCTTAATCAGTGGTAGGTACCTGAGTGCCTAGCACGAATGACTATCGTAATCGTAACGTTAACGTATCGAGACGTCGAAACTTCATGTGACGAAAACGGAATGTCGCAGCACGAAGCCTATCGTATCGTCTAGCGAGAGCTCGAATCGAATTCGTTAGTGACGTCATGCTAATGTAAGCTAGAGAAGCACCCAAGTGAACGAATTGAATGAATTCTTGAACATAATTTAACATAAAGATTTCGTCTGAAAACTAAAATTAATTTTAAACATATTTCAACCTTCGTCTACACCTTTTATGGTATTATATTTAAATGAAAAAATATATATTACGTGAAAGAATTCTTAAAACGAGTCAAGAAGTATATAAAATGACTTTATCTTTGAAAAAAATATTATTTGGTTATTTAAATTTTGTAACCTAATTTACGATTTCCGAACGTTCTTTTGACAAAGGTGACATTTGACGGCTATTGACGTATTTTTTTTAACAAACAAAACAAAGAATGTAGGTAGGTAATTATGCGGCTATCTTATTATGCGGTTACTTTAAATTTATTTTAAAATGAGGAGGACTCGGCTCCAATACGAATTAATGGTGGATTTCATGGAATATGCCAGTGACAAGCAGCGAGCCTTCAGTGTTCCGTCCGACCACTCCGCAGTACCCATGAAGCCAGCCGTTCATCGACACCACCAGTCGCCAATCCTCCATTAGAAAAGGAATGCTGGAAGCCTCGACCGAAAACAAAAATGTAAAGGGAGTTTAATCAAATTGTGTTTAGAGAATGATAAGAAACCTAGGGAGTTTGCTAGGGAGCGTGAGGAAACATATGATATAATGGAACAAGAGCGTTTGGAATTACGACGAGAAGAATGAAGAGTAAGACAGAGAGATGCAGAGCTCCTTTTATAGGCTCAGTGGCTGGAACTTTTGAGAGAGGCAATAAATGTATTAAAATATAATCTAGTTAAAAAGATGATTAATGTATATTTACATATTTTATTTTAATTTTAATGTATATTACTACATTTTGGAATGAGGAAAGATTATGTTAGAATTGAATTTAAAATGTCTCACTATAGTTACCTATTATAAAAACATAGGTAAGAATAGTTTTTAAGTTAGATTAGTGTGTAAGATGTTTTGGAAATGTATAATAATAAAACACTTGGGTCATCTATGTAGTATATTTATTTGCTGTACCAGAATATTACTTAAAGCCCTTTCACTTATCAAATCATCGCTTCTATCATTTTCATGTCTCATATCAGAAGATGAGGTATGAGACAAGTCTTGATGTTCAGCTGTTGTTGTATCTACCTGTGGCTCAGGCACATTGAAATTTATGACCAAATTATGCAACACGCAGCAAGCCGTTGTCAAGCACATTTTTCAGGAGCATAATTCAGAGAGCGGTCTTTGCACAAGCATCACCTCTTCTTCTTTTACCGCAGTATATTGTGGCCCGGAGTTCCCTCTACCGCATCCAAAATGAGTAGGCGTCATTAGCCATGGTCGTTGTGGGTAGCCAGAATCACCTGTAAAAAAATACTTATTAGAAAACCTAATTTATACTAGCTACTTTCTCGCGGTTTCACCCGCTGCTCGACTCCTATTGATTTCATTTTAGCATTATAAGGTGAGTTTTTTGTTGGAGTTGCTCACAGAAGTACTTGAAGGCTTCTTTATTTAGGCTACGTTTCAGTGATATCCATTGGATTAGATATCTTTCTGAATTTAGCTCGGCACACGATTTCTTTAGAATAATCAGTTAATTCGTATTATTTTCTTGAATACATATGTCTATATTAAGTGAAACATAACTTGAATAGGTAGGTACTTAGGTACTTACGAAGTTTCTCTTGACTCTTCATCTCCAAGTAAAATAGCCACAAATAAACTATTTCTCCAACTTGGTTCGTACAGCGGCGGTTTTGCATGATGTTATACTCGTAAAGAATACTCACAAACTTTATAATATATTATTTAAAATTCGATTGAAATATTTCGAAACCTTTCTCACCGTCAAATTCTTAGTGACTAATGTTTCGACAGTTTTCGATAGCCAGCCTTCGAAACTTACGTTACTATACGTCAAAAGATCGTTCGTGCTTCCAATTTGTGTCAAAATGTTCTAAGTTTCGATAGCAACACGATACGATTACTATACGATAGTTGTCAAAATCATTCGTGCTTGCGATTTTTAGTTCCTTTTACGCACGGTAGGGGCGCTGTACAAATCCCATAGAAAATGCTTTCGATCTCGATACGAATACTTTCTCGATAATGTTCGTGCTGTGCCTAGCACGAACATTATCGAGAACAGATCCGAATCTTTGGATTAGAAAAATCGAGAACATTTTCTATCTATGCTTTAACAGTTATTGTTTTTCTTACAGAGCCAATCTGCCCCGAACATGCTCATTACGTGATAAACGATAATAGTTGCCCAAAGACATGTGGGAATCGTCTGTTATCTACTACAGACGTAGCTGGTGCCTGTTCACCGTTTACAGGATGTGTTTGTGATGATGGCTATGTTAAAAAGTACGACAATGCTACGAGACCATGCATACGTGAAAGCAAATGCCGTAAGGAATATTTGCTATGTTCCATATTGTAAATATGAGCGCCCTGTAACCATTAAAATTGAATTAGGCTAGTATTATGTTGGTACTTGGACTTTTCATGCTCTTTCAATGGTATCACTGGTGGTGGTGCGGTACGATCGCGCGATTTCTTACGATATGGTCGGGTTAGGCGGTGCTGGTCTATGTGTCTTTTTGTTAGAGAATGGACGCCGACCAATGAGGTTGGCCAGCCCGAAATTGTTATAAGTAATATCGTCCTTGGGTTTTTTTGCGATACTTTAGCTAAATATTACACACCAATTTTTCACATAATGGAAGCAACTTAATAATTTGATTTAAAAATAATGTTTTTCAAGTCTCAAGTATTAAGTTTGTACACTGCTGCCGAAATCATCATCGTCGTCATTAATCAGAATAATTTGTCTTTTAAAAATGAATCGTAAAATGTTTTGGTAAGCGCATAACTCAACAACGCCTGGACCAATTTTGCTAATTCTTTTTTGTTGTGTTTGTTATTGTCAGGAGAAGGTTCTTATCAAATAAAATATTAGAAAAGTAGAGGGGAAGATTAGGAAATTGTGACTCTTTGATAGCGAGATAGTTGGACCCGTGCGAAGCGGGGGCGGGCCGCTAGTTATTAATATAATTGAATTTGAAATTGTATCCAGAGCCAATCTTGGCTCTTCTTACGTTTAACGAAGATAAAACCCTGTAAAGTTTTTTTCTTTTTTCAGCTCCAATTCCTTCTACCTGTGGAACTAACGAAGTAGCAACAAGCTGCCGAATTGACTGTCCACCACAAACTTGTGAGAGTATATTCACTTCATACAATTGCCCACCAACGGAATGTGAACCTGGATGTAACTGTATTGACGGATATCTGAGAAATTCCGAAGGTGTATGTGTACCATCTGAAGAATGTTTTTCCGGTAAGTATTTATCACCATTGTGTACTACATCTGTTATACTTTTTTCCCACCATCAACACTATGAGCTTTCTATCTGTTGATCTTGCCAAAAATATGTTTATGAGTTTCGCTGTTAGTCTGATAATGTTCTATCGTGTCTCATCTATCGGAAGACGAGGTTGCTAGTTGTGTCTCTTCGATTTTAGTCACACGATTAGTTCATCTTCAACCATGGTTTTACAATTCTGACAAATATTTAACTGCTTGATTACACTGCTTCCATTTTCAATGAGTATTCATTTTACTTCGCTTGTAAACATCTCTGAATTTTTTATGTTTATTTCTATCCTTATTTCAACTTTTTGAAGATCGTCTATTTCTATCATTCTACTTCCTTTTTCACTTCAAAAATTTTTGAAGCCCACTTCGTCTTTGGTCTTTTTCTGTTACGTTTTTCTCCTGCTTATGCAGTTCACTGACCAATTAATTTATCTTTGTCAGCTCCTGTATGTGGACCAAACGAAGAGTCATCAGATTGCGCAATATTATGTCCCCCTCAGTCTTGTGAAAGCTTGTATGTCGACTACTTATGTGCACAAATGGAATGTAGACCTGGATGCAATTGTGTGAAGGGTTATCTTAGGAACAGTGAAGGGATTTGCATTCCGAGTGAGGAATGTTCTGCAAGTTGGTTTTCTCATTATTTTTATGATTTTTCTTGGTTACATCGAGTTAGACTAAAACATTTTTGTACTATTAATTTTTTCAATTATTCTTAGTGTCTCATTTCGAAGTCCTTAACTAGTGTAAATACAAAGAAATTAATTTGAAAGTACGTGTTTAAATGGCTCATGAATGAAATAAAGAGGCATGTATTGCTTTGACGCCTTGGCTTGGCGGTGATGCATTCCATTGTTAACGTAAAGTTTTGTCACAAGGTCGTATCTTAGGACCAATGTAAAACAAAAATAATGCATGATTTGCAGGATGCAAAGGGGATGCCAATGCTACAGCGGTATCGTGTGGAAGTGCTTGCCGATCGACTTGTGCAGATCCAGATAGAAGTAATCGAGCTTGTATTCTTATTTGTCTTCTAAATGAATGCGAATGCAAACAGGGATATATTTTGTCTGAAAGTGGTGTTTGCATAGATCCAAAGGATTGTCCTGGTGAGTGTTTTATTACAATTAATATAATTTACTTGTTTATAGAGAGGTAAACTGTAGCGTAAATCTTTTTGTCAGTTACCTGTTTATATTAATTAATTTAATGCATCAGTTACCAAACTTCCGAAAAAAAATCAATTTTTTTCCCAAAATTAACAAACCTTGATTTGTGTTCGTTAAATTTTTACTAGTTAATTATGTGACTGAGCTTTTTGTCTATTCTTATTATTGTTTTAAAGATTTATATAATAATTTATTTTATATCTCTTTAGGTGGATCTCCCGTTTGTGGTACTAATCAGACGTACGTTAGTTGCAAAGCGGGCTGCCCTACTGAGTACTGCCCAACTGACGATAGTCGGGCAATGATTGCTTGTTCTATCGCCTATCCTTGTCCAGGCGGGTGTGCTTGTAGTCCAGGGTATTTGTACGAGAGTTATGAAAACCCTCAATGCGTCTTAGCTTCAGATTGTCGTGAGTAATTTTAGATGTGTTTAAGTGAACTCTAATGTTATCGAATTATGGTTTATAGATATTACTGAAATCGTTGTATGATTGTGACAGCAAAATATTGGGGTATTTTTAAACGTAACAAATTTTGTCATTATTATTAATTAATTGTTAAGTTTTTATCTCAGTTTTTAAAGGTAATATTTTGAAAATGAGATTTGAAAATATCTGATGCCAAATTCGTATTAATTTTTGTTTTAGCCGAAGTAGAGTGCACAAGGCCTAATGAGGTTTGGGATAGAAACCCCACATCGTGTTTCCAAGAAAGATGTGACGAAAGAGATCGGGATTGTGTTGATCCATACCCAGTTCCACCAAGATGCGTTTGTAAAAAGGGGTATTATAGGAACGAGAGTGACGTTTGTGTTCCTGCATCTGAATGCCGTAAGTATTTTTGTGTTAAAATGGAATCTGCTACTATTATGATATTAATTTAATTATGAGCTGTAGCAACTAAGTATTATGAATAAACAAATAAATAAAATTTTTCTTCACTTCAAACTTTACTGGTGGGCTTATTTTTCTTTTACATATTCAGTTTTTTTAATTAAATAAACCATATTACAAGGTGATACTGATATTAAACCAGTCAACGCTATCATTACCTACTTGACCCGTCTTATTTATATTCCCGATTTTGGGTTCTTTTTTATGAGGGGACAATCATCTAATGACTTCTTCTCCATCCCGCCCAGGGTAAGGCGGCCCCGTTCCTTCACCTGCTCTAGGTCGAGTGACTTATTGCGCTTGCCACGCGACCATGGCTGATCATTAGCCCTATAAGGCCCCGTCTGTGGTGGTCTGGGCTTTAGGCTTTACAATAAAATCGTTTAATTACAATTTAAGTATTTTTTTTGATAACTACAGCATCATTAGGATGTAAAGGTGACTTGAATGCAACGTTAACACTATGCCCAACGCCGTGCCCTTCAACTTGTGCTGATCCAAATGCTGGAAGTAGACCCTGTATCGAGATATGCCTCCCAGAAGACTGCCAGTGTAATCCAGGATATGTTCTTAATGAAGACGGAAAATGTATTAAACCTGAGGATTGTGGAAGTAAGAGAACCAAAGTAAACAGACCATAAAATGTTAAACATTTTATGGTCTGTTTAATTATATATGAAAGTTATAGGATGGTCTAAAAATGTTAACTGTTGAAATTTGACGATATTGATTGATCGCTGCGTATATCGATCGAAAGGCTCCTAAATGTCGAACGTTGTTCTAAATTCAGCTAATTTACTAACCTATATAGGGCTTTCCCAAATATTTTTGGCTTTGCCGTAAACCGCTCAGTAGATAAATATCTGATGAATTTTTTAACATTTTAGCGCCTGAAACTTGCGATGGGGATCCTAACGCAATGTTCTCCGAGTGCCCCAGTCCCTGTCAAGCCTCTTGTGATAACCCAGATACGAACCAGCCGTGTATAAGGAAATGCTTACCAAGTGGTTGTGTGTGCAAACCAGGATTTATCCGAAAGAAAAAGAATGGAGAGTGTATTAAGCAGTCGAGTTGTCCAGGTATTTCTTTAGACTTTATTTTAAAAAGAAGCTCTGTAGTACGCAATTTGTGTAGATCAGAGTAACTTCAGGCATTTTTTTAAATGTCAGCGTGATAAAAGATAAACTTGTTACTTTTGTTTTTTGGTTGATCCTAATTGAGACTCGATTTTAATTAGTGTGTCGTGTGTCGTGGGTGCGTTTACTAACATACAATTTCACATAGACATCACACCCAGATCCAATTTGTGAAACAAAAATGTGGATCACTCAAAGAGTTGTTCTGTGCGGGAATCGAACCCGCGATACGTTGCGTGGTAGGAAGTTGCCCAGCCACCGCGCCAACCGTGAAGTCAATTTTAATTAATAATTGTTACTGTCAACCAAACGAGAAGTTTCCAATATGCAGAAGAATTTTGATTTAAAACACAACAAATAACTTGTCAAACCGATTTGTAGTGATAGCCCGGAGTTTAAGGCAGCCGCTTCTCATGCATGAGGATGCGCATTCGGAACTTGGCAAGTACCAATGTGACTTTTTCGAGTTATATGTACTTTCCATGATTATTTAGACACTACTGACATATGGAAAACGAAACCTAGACTTCTAATTTCTATTTTTATTTCTTTTCACACGCACACATTTCACACGCACGTGCCTCATACACTAACAGTAGACACTCGCGCTATGTTGATGTTTTTCATCGGCTGTTTACTTATTTTTGTTTGTATAACTCTTTTCCTATTTATTTTTATTGTTACTAACGAGCCTATATGTATAGTTGTTAAATGGAAAACTTGCGGAAGGCTTAAAAGGACATTCCATGTTGTAAGGTCTGTTTTTAATTTTAAATTACTGAATAAACATTGATTTACTAAATTATTTAAAGTTTTAAATTGCTAATACGCCTTGAGCAAGCATGGCGATTAATAATCAAACCTTCGTCTGATCAGGGGTGTGATTCTGTAAGACTTCATTCTAAACTTCGAATCTGAATCCGCTGTGAGTAGTGGTACACTAGCGCTACACTTGCGAGTTGAACTAAATTGACAGCAACATATTGATAGATAAAGTATGAGATGACGTAAAAAGTGGCATTCTAAAATTTTATTACCCAGTCACTTCGACGCTCACTTCGCACTCGAACAAGATTCAAAATCAAACAAATTTTATAGAATCGACGTGCAGCAGTGAAGGCCCACTGCTGCACGTCGATTCTATAAAATTTGTTTTAAATTTGTATAGGCTGATGATGTGAGGATGTGAAACAGAATTTACTGTATCATGTCATCAGAAAAAAAAGTCAAAGTGAACACTGAGTCTATAATGGCGTTTATATTACAGTGGATTATGGATGCAATGGTGACAAAAATGCGACTGAATCTGACTGTGCGAGTGCCTGTCCAATTACGTGTATTAATCGATTCAGAGAAAATAATCGAGTCTGTCCAGCAGTATGTCGAAATGGTTGCAAGTGTAAACCTGGATACATTCTGACTGATGATGGAGGGGTTTGCGTGAAACCTAAGGATTGTCCAGGTACAAAATTAAAAGAATATAATTATAATATTCTCGAGTATTACTTAAGGTCACATGTTGCAAAACAAGCAGTGAATTTAATTTTCTTTATCTTTCCGAGACCGAGCAAGCACATACACATAGAATCTATCACAGAACATATCTCTCTCAACCCATCAAAAACCGTAATATTTTTGATAGCTGGATTTTAAAAAACTTATGATTTTAATCATTGACTATTTTTCAGTTCCAGAAACTGATGGTTGTGATGGGGACCCCAATGCAGTATTCAGTGATTGTCCAAGTGCTTGTGAACCAACCTGTGAAAATCCAGACTCCAATCAACCATGTATTTTGATGTGCATGCCTAAAGGTTGTGTTTGCAAAAAAGGATTTGTACGTAGAAATGATGGGAAATGTGTGAGAGTTGAGGAGTGTCCAGGTATTATAAAACTTGTCAGACATCTTTTCTTTATATATGAGTTACTAGCTAAATTTACATTTGATCTTAGCGTGATGTTTTATCATGAAACGATTTATTATTCATCAGTGAAAGAATTTTGGCAACCGGACCAGCGGTTCCAAAGATTACCTCCTACATACAAACTTCAATTTTTACCCCTTTGTAATATTTGTATAGATAACGAAACGACTTACAAGTGGTTATTTTTATTATACACAAAAATATTCAAATTTACAATTATAGAATAATGTGAGAAAAATTCTAACGTACAGGTTATTCCGTTATTTTTATTTTAGCTAAAGAAGATCAAATGAGGCTTGGGAACGAACACCCTAAACTTGTTTCCAAACACAATGCGATTAAAAAGATCAGGGGTGCGTAGATCCATACTCAGTTCCATCCTTCATTTCTTCTTCAATTTTTCCTTTTTTAAAACAAAACTGGCTCTAATGTGACTAATATGAGTAATTAAGAATAACTAAACTAAAGCTTGATTAATAAAAAAGGCCCTTTAAGAATAATGATCTCAAATTGCTTTAGCGGTGGGATGCGGCGGTGACAGGAACGCAACAGAAAGGGATTGTCCAAGTCCATGTCCCTTGACTTGTGCGGATCAGAACCGAAATAAACCTTGTCCAGCTATCTGTTTACCGAGGGGTTGTGATTGCAATGAAGGTTACGTACTGACTGAAGCTGGTGGAAAATGTATTAAGCCTGAAGATTGTCCAGGTAAATAGAATTTAATATAAAACTTTAAAACGGATTAACATTTGCTTATATGGGGATAGTCACTGCGTTTTGAGGTGTGGGTGAGGTTACTGGAGGCCCAATCCTTCCCCTCCCCCAGTCCCTCTAAAACCCCTAATTCTCCAAACCGTAATCCCCAAAAAGTCGGCAAAGCCCGAGTAACTCCTCCATTGATGCGGGGGTGTGCTTGGGCGGCATTGTTTAATTACCATCAGGTAATTCCATCTCGTTTGCCGACCGATCACATAACGAAAAATCAAATGAGGTAAATTCCATGCCTTTAAGGGACAACGAATTACCTCACGTCATCGCAATTTTTACTGGATGCCTTTCATTCTATATTGTTGTCTTATAGCTGAACCTCAATGTAATGGAGACCGCAATGCCACGTTCAAGGAGTGTCCAAGCGCATGTCAGGCTACTTGTGACAATCCGGATTCTGATCAACCATGTATAGATGTTTGCATGCCCGATGGCTGCGTGTGCAAACAAGGATATCTTCGGATCGAAGAAGATGGTGAATGTGTACAACCGCAAGACTGTCCAGGTGAGAATGTGATTTAATTTAATTTTATAAATGTGTGAGAGACCCGAACCTCGGCACGAATGGATGGTTTGACCAAAGTGATTCTACGGCGTCACAGAAAACCGTCGTGAAACAACTACAGCGGTGTGTTTCACACCGAGGTTAACGGAGGAGCAATTCTTCCCCTCAGATTCGCAACTTCTAATTTTAGTGCTACCTTTCTTGGGGGGCGAGAGAAGGAGGATTATTAAGGCTACTTTTGCCCTGACAAGAGGACTTTTAATATTACAAACTCCGTTCTTTGCACTGTTCCGAGCCGAGCCTACGTTAAATTATTGCTCTTGCACTCCCTGCCTGGGAGCTGCTTGGATTTTAATTTTATCAGCATTTTTATTGTCATCACTCACTTTTTCTATACAGGTGGATCACCTACATGTGGTGCTAATAAAACCTATGTGTACTGTAAAGTGGGTTGTCCGACGAATTATTGTCCTTCTGATGACAGTCGAGCTATTGTCGCATGTGATCCCATATACCCTTGCCCTGGAGGTTGTGCTTGCAAACAAGGATATTTACTGCGCAGTGGAGAGGATGAGACTTGTATAAAGGCCTCGGAATGCCGTAAGATGTTTACTGAAATATATTTTATGACTTTAGCTTTTGATATGTTTTGGCTTCAGTCAGTCAGGATATTTTGGTGGTCTTGTAATTGCTAAAAATCCTGAATTTTATAATGCTGTTCCTTCGCCTTGTATAAAGTACAGTAGACACTAAATTTAAACCTTTCATAAACTACATATGTAATTTGATATTATTGAAATAATGACGAACATAAAATAAGTTATTGAAATTAGATCAACATGTTTTCAGCACCAGTTGAATGCACAAGACCTAATGAAGTATGGGAGCCTAATCCTTCAAGTTGTTCTTGTGAACGCTGTGAAGACAGAGGTATACCTTGCGACTTCCCATACCCTGTTCCACCAAGATGCGTCTGCATGGACGGATTTTATAGGAACCAGGACGATGTTTGTGTACCTGAATCGGAATGTCGTAAGTACATTAAGAGATAAACTATAAAAATTGACATGATAGGATCATATCTCTGCATTAAAAATATTATGTATTGTCATCTGAACCTCTTTTTTTGAGGGTTAAAGTCACCAAATTTCTTCACGCTCCCTGCGTGGGACGAGAACGAATGAGAGACGAAAACTAACCTGCGTTCTGAAACTGTTGAACTTTAGATATTTAATAATGGTTTTTCTTATATGTTACTTCTAAATAAAAGATCGTTAAAATTTTTCAGCTGCAATAGGTTGCAAAGGTGATAAGAATGCTACATATTCGGAATGTCCCAGCCCTTGCCAGCCTACATGCGATGACCCTGATGCTGGTGACGTTTGCATCACTGTATGTGATGATCCTGGATGCGTGTGCAATGATGACTTCATTTTGTCTGAGCCTGGCGGCTATTGTATCAGTCCATACGACTGTCCAGGTAGGAATCCCACTACTATTTTGTTTACGTTTTATAATTATTTTTTCAACTTTTATTTTCATTTTTTAAAGCGTATTTTAATATAACTGACAGGCGATTAAGGAAATTTTACTTATAAGTAGTTCCTAATTTGATATTGCCATTTCGCAAACTTTCTCCTGTTGATAAGAGGCTTTTGCTTAGCAGTACCCACTTTATGATGGTGATGATTCTCATTCATACCATAAAAAATAAGTTTTCCTATACGCACTGCAAAACACACTAGAAAAAAAAGTGTCAAAACCGTAACCAATTTTATCCTGATTCAATAGGGGCCTTATCTACACTATCATATGTTATGTTATGGTCATAAGTTTAAGTAAATCAAAAATACTTATTGTATTTTAAAAATTGTACTTATTTTTACTTCGTATTTGTAGGTGGATCACCAAAATGTGGTGTAAATGAAACCTACGTTTCTTGCAAAGTAGGAGGATGCCCATCTGATTACTGTCCAAAGGATGATAGCCTTGCTACTGTTATATGCGATCCCTTTTTCCCGTGTCCTGGAGGATGTGTATGTAAACCAGGTTATATAAGGCTTAGTGAAGAAGATAATCGATGCGTTTTGTCTTCAGAGTGTCGTAAGTTATTTAATTATACTTATATTTTAATAGGATCAGGTTACTTAAACAGCGTTGCTGTTTTTTTTCTGTTACATTTATGGTTTCTTAGTTACAAATAACATCCAATTTGTTTAATTCTGTGGTTTAATCATTCAGAGATTCTAAGTAAGTCGTACTTTATATTTTAGCACCTGTCGAATGTACACGAGAAAACGAAGAATGGAATACCAACCCTCCAAGTTGTTCCGCCGATAGATGCGAGTACAAAGATTTTCCATGTGACTTCCCGATACCTCTTCCACCAAAATGTACCTGCATAAAGGGATACTACAGAAATAAGGACGATGTCTGTGTCCCAGAATCTGAATGCCGTGAGTGAATTTAAAGTCCAAAAGTGGTTTTTTTCTATCTCTGTCTGGCTTAAATTGCTTTCAAAACAAAATCTTTTCTGATGTTTTCTTTAACAGTTTATGGGATCGTTACCGTACTAAGAAGATTTTGATAAATGTAGATAATCTACATGGAGCGACAGCCAGTATTTTTTTATGAAAAAATGTACATGTGGAGATGTTTTATTAAAATGTAGAAAATATTCCAGCTGAACCAGCATGCAACGGGGATCAAAATGCAACATTCTCCGACTGTCCCAGTCCATGTAAACCAACTTGCAACAGTCCAGACTCTGATGTTATTTGCATTGACATGTGCGATGAACCTGGTTGTGTCTGCAATGAGGGATTCCTCCTCACTGAACTTGGCGGTAGCTGTATTGATCCTTATGACTGTCCAGGTATGATTCATATTACGTTAATAATTTGAACAAAGCCCCTGTTACATTGATACTGTTCCACACCCAACAAACAGCATAGTATCGTTGATCTATCCAGTGTCAGTCACTGAAGAAGTTTGCATTTTTATTTTATTTTTTTGTCTAGCCCTTAAAGTCGCAGGATGTTTTTTGCTAAAGAAAACAAGTAATATCAATTTTAATGGTTTATTAGACATATAAAAAAGTTACAAAAAATAAAAAAAAAATTCTAGAGCTGACATTTTTTTGGAAAAACCTATGTATAATATACTATACGTTGCCACTCTTGCTACAAACAGTAGGGAATCGGCAATGTATAGAATACTATACGTTGCGCTATATTAGTGCTTTGTGTGATAAGCCAAAAAACAGTTTCTGCCTTTCACATAACATAAATGTACTTTGCATTTAGTACACATTGTACTCGCTTGACCTCCTTTGCAATATTTGATACCCGGTTAACTGGGGCCAATGATCGTATTTATCATACCTCACATCATCGAAAGGTCTCTCTGCGTTTGGTTTCTTTATCTTTTGCCTTTCAGGTACAGAGTCAATGTCTTTTACGGGGACGGTTCTATCGCGCTTTAGAAGTCCAGCGTATATTTCGTAACGAAAATCTTTCAAGCGATCTTGTTTCCTCTTCTTATTTATTTGTTTGTCATGTCTACGGCGTAACAACCAACCATTATTGACACATATGTCCAACAGCTGCGAAAAATTATTCATGTACCACCTGTGAGATTTTATACCTGTGCGGTATAACGATATAAGCATATCCGCCAAATCCACTCCACCCATGTGGCGATTATAATGCTTCACAATTTGTGGACATTTTATATCTATGCGACTTTTTGACTCTTTGCTGAAACGTTTGATATTTTCAAGAGGAAAAGCGTCAACATAAGTACTTACTAGCCTCACATGCTTATTATCAAACCATTTCACCACACTCAGTTTGTTTTCATTGCAGACCACTTGAGTAAAAGCGCCTCTTCCTTTCTTCTGTAGGGTTTTGTCATCTATCATTTTACACTCAGCATCCTTCAACCTGTTCTTCCTAACGGTCCCTAAACTAAATATACCATAGTTTTCTCGTAAAATATATAATAACTCTAACGACGTAAAATAGTTATCAAAGTAAACCACACTACACGCTTGTTTTTTAATAGTTTTGCATAACGCTAAAACTATTTTTCCTCCAACACCTAAAGATTCTTCCTCATCCGTGAATTCCACACCTCTAAACGTGTCATCGCCAGCGTAGAGAATAAAATCGTAGATAATACCAGAAACACCAGCACGAACCAAATTTTTAAAACCCCATTTACTTGGCTTGTTTGGGTTATATTGGCGACGACTGCCTGCTTTTTTACCTTTATATGGTATTACCATCTCGTCTATACTGAAAGCATTTTCTTCTTCGAGAGATAAACATTGGGATCGAATGCATTCAATTAGGGGTCTTAGTTTATAATACCTGTCAGTAACATCAGCTTGGGTGTTGTCAGTGAAATGTAAATATCTTCTCAGTTGCTGAAAACGCTTCAATGACATAACTTCCGCAATTTTTGGATATCTGAAGGACGATTTCCAATAATCCTTGTAAGAAGGTAAAACTACGATACCCATAAGAATGTTGACGGCCAAAAAGTCTAATACTTCCTCTTCTGTGACTTTTATCGATTTCCCAGTTTCTTGGACACTGTATAAATTGGTGTTCTCCATTATATCGGTCACTATGTCTCTGGGAAAAAAACGATAAAAGTAGTCTAAAGGTGACCAGTCCGTTGGTACAATATCTTCAAAGGTATGGTTTGATATGTCAGCTCTGTGTTGAAATGACACTTTTTTCCATCGAAAACGTAAATTTAGTTTTTTGACACAGCGTCTTTTAACTCTATTAACAGCCACTGAAGCTCCAGTACGTTTTCTTTGTCCACGTGTCCTCAAAGGTATGTTAGTTGCCATAGTAGGAGATGGTTGAACAGACGCCACAGAATTAATAGACGAAATTGAAGGGATTGCGTAATAGTTACATTGCGTAGGGCTCGGAAATACAGCTTGCAAGACTGGTGTGAGTGGAACTTGAGCAGTTTCTTGTTCAACATAAGAAGCTTCTGCGTCTACCTCATCATCTGAATGGTTAGCTGACGAAACGGGGCTGCCGAGAATATCGAGCCTTTCAAATGATGATTCTAATGACGGTGCTGGTGAACTCTCTGCTGTTCTCACTTCATCCCCACTGCTCGATTCATCACTAGCATCGGAATTTGCATTTACCGCTGGCACCAAAGACAATATTCGTCTAGCTCTTCCGTTCATTGTCGTCTAAAACAATACAAAGCCAACATGCAATTCAACCACCATTTAAATAAAAGCCAAGACGTTATAATAAGCATCATAGCACTCAAATCGTATCAAAATACCAAAAAAAATATAATTTCATAACATAGTAGCGATTGTGGCATTGTATAGTATACTATACATACAAAAATCATGGTAAATGGTACCAGTTGTAGCATTGTATAGTATACTATACATATAAGTATATAAGTCAAAATAACACAAACACCACACATTCTAAGTTAGTTATATAGTAAAATGATTAGAATAACTATCCACCTTTCTATTTTATGCATTACAAACCCACAATTAGTAATAAAAACACGAAAATAACTAAAACTCACCTCGGTACTATTTTTTGGCAGCGACTCGTTCGTTAATTTTCACAACTAATTCAAATTTACCACAGTTTATTTTATTTTATGTCATAATGACATAACAAAAAACGTTCAGAAATGTGATTTATGATAAAATATTACAGATCAAATGAAATGAAATTGAACAATATTTTTTTAAAGTTAGATGTATACTATACTATACAAAGACACTTTAAGGGCTAGAGACTCAGGTTAGGTTATGTTCAAGATTTTCAAATTGTTTTACAATCTTTGACTTTTAGGTGGATCACCACAATGTCCTTCAAACAAAACCTACACTAGTTGCAAGATTGACTGTCCCATGCGCTACTGCCCTACAGAAGAAAATGAAATTCCAAGGATTTGTGATCCATTATGGCCGTGTCCTTCGGGCTGTGAATGCGCACCTGGATATCTCATGGTGGATTCTATAGATCAAACATGTGTTTTGGCTGCCGATTGCCGTGAGTATTTTAAGTCATTAGACCTTTATGTATAATCTATTATAATAAAAACGTCTTAGATAATCGAATCATAATATCTGAAATTTGAATTTAGCCATTCCCAAAATATCACACATAATTTCAAATTTAAAGCAATTATACTCTTTATTAACAGCTCCATTGGAATGTACCGGAGAAAACGAAGAGTGGAACTCAAGTCCTCCAGATTGTGACTTCGAAAGTTGCGAGAATGTGAACAGTGTATGCAATAATATCAGCCCTGGCCGACCAAGGTGCACCTGTAAGGAAGGATACTGCAGGAATCAAGATGGCGTTTGCGTGCCTTCTGAAGAGTATCGTAAGTGACTTATAGGTTTTTTGTTGCGTTCATTTTTATTGTTTTGTTTTCCTTTAAATGTTTGTTGAGTTAATCTCCAAAATTAGGTAACAGGAGCTTCGTTATAATTGGAATTTGAAGCAATTGCACTAGAGTTGTTGATCTTGTTTTCTTCTCCTTGTGGTTGCAGAAATTCTTTTCATTTTGTTAGTAATTTTGAATTATCTTCATATTCTTCTTCTACCTAAATACTGCCAATTTTTATTTCAAATGCATATGCATTCAGTGATAGAATAACTCTTGCACACTTTATTACTATATTTTTCATTTGAATTTTTGTAAGAAGTCAGAGGGATTTCGTTCATAAATCTGTTCTAACAAAAAGGGAAAGTTTTATCGTACGAAGAATGCATTTGACGCCATTTAAAACTTTTGTCGTCTCTGGTCACAGCTTCCGTAATCCTCTTTTATGCAAAGTGCTGTCACTAGGGCTAGATTATGAGAATATTTTTAGAGAAATTGCATTTTGCGGTGTAGTCTAGTGAAAAAGTTTTAAAAGTAAAATAATTGGTTTTGTTTTATGATTATAAAAGTATATTACATTATATTTGTTTCCGATTTCCATCAGAACTAGATTTATTCCACGTGCTTCCTACAGTTTAATTTGATATTACTGTAACAAAATTCATCTTTGGTCACTTCTAGTGAATTCAACACAAAATAAATACACCAGGAGCCTTAAAAACTACAATGCAACTATTGTTTAGAATTTCACGAATATCCAAACAGGTAACATGTAGCTTGAATTGCTTTGTTCGAATGCCTTCGAGCGAATAACATGGAACTGAAAAGTGGAAATAAATCCCGGCTTTTTGGAAGGAAATTCGATGGCTTAGGTGGAAACCCAAGCGAAACAAGTTCCTGCGACTAAAGTAAATGTAATAGAAAATATTTTCGAAGTTGGATTAGGGTTTGACACTATTTCTTTCAATAGATAATGTTCTTGGCGCTTTATAGGGTTAGATAGGGACAAAGCAACAATGAAGTTGGTTGGTATAGTTAAAGGAAAATTGACCTTGACGTGTATCAAAGTAATAAGGAATTGGACTCATATTTCCATGGATATACATATAGCTGAATTCTTAAGGCAATAAAATTAGTTAAGCCTTTGACTGCCGACTGAAAACTATTGAAGGCAAATCCTCCGCTACCGTAGGTCACCGGTGACCTACGCGGCGGTTAACGTGTTAATGTTCTGTGCTTGGATTACACGCACCGCAATCAACAATTTTTTTCTTTATTGAAATTTTTCTCCTTTGCTTAAGTCGTGGTTTTGACAAACATAATACAATTTCACATACACATCACATTCAGACCCAGAACAACAATTTGTAGATCACACAAATAGTCGTTCCGTGCGGGAATCGAGCCCGAGACATGTTGCGTGACATTCATTAACTATACAGTCTTTATTAACATGTATTTGAAATGTTTCGAAAATCAAAAATAATATAGTTAATAAATAATTGTTGAATTAATGTTCATTACAACTTCGACATACATCTAATTACTTAGTTCATTTCAATCGCTCTAGCATTTTTTAAACATTTATTTCTTTACTTATTTCGTGCATGCTCCAGCAACAAACGAAGTGCAGCAATTCGTATTAATTTAAATTGTAAAATAAGTCGATCGCAAAACTTATTGTTCCGAAATACTGTTCATTTGTATACTGTCCGTTGTTAATTAAACAAAAAGCAAGATCATGTTGATGTATTAATAATTATATAGGTATATTATGAGTAAGGTACGTAATGTATGCAATATGTGGTATAATTTAATAAGCTCATTACATAACTATAGTTTCAGGTCTCAATGTTTTTCTGGAAAAAATCTTATAAAAAAAATCGCAAGTAGCAGTGTAGTACTGTAGTCTGACTGCACGGTTGGTGCGGTGGGAAACTAGCTGCCGTGCAACGTGTCGCGGCTCCGATCAAGTCTTTGTGTGATCCACAAATTGTTGTTCCTTGTCTGTGTGTCATATGTAACATGAGAAATTGTATGTTTGTAACTGCACCTACGACACAGAAAAAACCCCTAAATGCAGGGCAAATAAAAAAAAAAGACGAAGAAGGTACTTTCATATTACTTTTATATTCTGTGCTATACGAATGCACAAGTTTGTCATCTGCGCGATGATGCGCATTCTGTTCACAAATAAAAGTTCCATGGTGACTTGAAACAAGAAAAGATTTTCTTAGTTGATTCACGTGAGTAAGTAGTTTTTTCAAAAAACTTTATTTTAGAGTAAATTTATACAGCTCAGCGTTTATGGCCATGCGAACTAAACGCGCAATCAGTTTCTTATATCTGGTTCAAAATGTAATTACAAAATTTCCCACCTCACAAAAATACAAACACACATACACATTGCAAATTAAATAAAAGAATAAAAGATTGTAACTTTAAAAATTTTAACATTTTATTTATTTATTTATTTATTTATTTATTTATTTATTTACTTATCATCCTTAATACTAACATTACAGACTAATCCAATGCGTTAGTGAGGCATTTAACTAAATAAAACATTATAAAAATACAATTAAAAACATAAAAACATAAACAGACACACACCCTTCTTGGTTAATAAAAAAGACATACAAAAACAACAAAATAAAACACATTAACAATAAATTACGGCCTAATCTATCTTATAACATAATATAAATAAAGTCATCCTTGCGAGTTCACTGAACTGACAAGAAAAAATATCTATATTGTTGTGGATTTCATTTATAATACGAATTGCTCGCGTGAGAGGCGTTTTGGCCAGGAGGTTGGTCCTGGCGGTTGGCACTGACAGCAGTGGCGGGCGTCGTCGTCTCTCCACGTATCTATCCGGCACACAGAGGCTCAAGCACCGTAGAACTCCGGGATTGTGCTCCTTGCCACCGAGTAATTTAATTAAGTATACAACAAGTGCAAACTCTCGCCGCACCTTTAACTGGTTGTACCCGACCATCCCCAGCACAAACAATGTGGGGTACATTAGGGGGTACAGAGGATACACCCCATACAGCCTTCAGTACAAGTGGCGCGTGAATTTGTTCTGTACGCGCTCCAGCATGACAGAGTACTTGGCTTCGTATGGAGCCCATATGACAGCACCACACTCCAAGTGACTCCTAACTAATGCGTCGTATAATATCCTCACTGTTGTTATATTCGTAAAGCCCTGCGACTGCCTAAGTACAAAGCCTAGGTTTCTGTACGCCTTCTTACATATATTAATAATATGCTCGCGAAACGTGAGCTCTGGGGTGAGTTGAATCCCCAGATCACGCACCTGTGTCACTCGCGTCATGGGTGTTGCCTCTGCTTTGTACTCATAGCAAACAGGGCTTCGCGAACGTGTAAAGGATATTACCGAGCATTTGGATACATTGAAGTATAGTTTATTGTCATGACTCCACTTCACCACTCTGTCAATGTCATCCTGGAGTCGTGCACAGTCCGACTCGTCCCTTACCTCGAGCAGCAACTTGAGGTCATCTGCGAACAATAAACATGTAGCATGTCTGACTACTTCAGGCAAGCTGTTTATCATGATGATAAATTCAAGAGGTCCCAAGTTGCTGCCTTGGCTTACTCCAGACCTTGTGTAGTACGGCTCCGATACGACGCCATTGTAGTCAACATACTGCTGACGGTCTTTCATGTAGCTGACAAAGAACTGCAACAGTTGTGGTGTACAGCCAACATCAGCCAGCTTCCTCAATAAGACATCATTGTCCACGGTGTCAAAAGCCTTTTTGAAGTCAAAATAAGCCGCATCCACCTGCACCCCCGCGTCGACTGCCGGTATAACCTGTGCCATGAAGTTAAGCAGGTTGGTGGCAGTGCTGCGCCCCGGCCGGAAACCATGCTGTGCATCCGAAAGTAGTGCTCGGACCTGCCCCTGTAGAGAAGTTTGAATGGCGGACTCAAAAACTTTAGCTGGTGTCGACAGCACAGCCACTGGTCTGTAACCGCTGACATCTGGACCTGACTTACCTTTAGGTACTGGAACGACGCGTGTGATTTTCCATCGTGTCGGGAATGTGGACTTTTGCAAACAGATGTTAAATATGTGATGCAGCGGACCTGCTAGAACCCTGGCGCAGTCCCGGAAAAGAAACGGTGGTATACCGTCCGGGCCAGATGAGCGTTTTGGCTTCAGATTTTGCAGCGCCATCTGTACATCTCCAAGAGATAAAGTGTTTAAATGCACCCGTGCACTGCTGACACTGGCTTCCGCCGCCGCCGCCTGTGCATCTAGTGTCGGCGGTACCTGGCTATATACGGACTTAAAAAAGTCAGCAAATTCTCCGGCGCACTGATCATCCGTCAAGTCTCGACCATTTTTTATTATATTTTGGCGATTAACTCTACTTTTTTTGGACCTAACATATTGCCAGAATGCTTTGGGATCCTTCGCGAATTGGTTTTGAATTTTATATTTGTGATCTCTGTATGCTATTTCTATAGATTTTTTAATTTGAGCCCTAATCTTAGCGTATTTGTTATAATCGCAATCAAGTTTTGTCTGTTTAAACTTTTTGTGTAGATCTGCTTTACTTTTAATATCGCGAATTATTTCCCCTGTGTACCATTCGGGATAAACGTAACGCGAGTTTCCCCGGGCAAAGGCCTTCCTGGGTACACATAGATCTAAAATGTGACTAAGCTGGTCATAGAAGACATCCAAAATATCATCTAAATCGTGTGTCTCGTACAGTGTACTCCAGTCAGCAGAAGTTAACATTGTATATAACAATTGATAATCGGCTTTATAAAAATTCCACTGTGGCCTAATGTTGTGCGCAGCGGCATAGGCGGCGGCGGGCGAGGACGAGGGAGACGCGGGGTGCGCGGGCGCGGGGCACACGCTCGCCGCGAGCGGCGGGTGGTGCGGGTCCACCGGCACGAGCGCGTCGTCCGTGGCCGCCACCGACACCTCCCCGCTAAAACCCGCACTA